CCGAATTCTCTAATGTCATCTTGTTGTTGCTATCTTCTCTGCTGTCTTCCTCTGCTTCTCTCCTCCGGAGTTATTTTTGTCTCTCGCCTATAATAATAATGCAATTTAGAACGCGCGCAAATTTGCGGACGTAACGGCCGCATCTTACCCTTCCACTTATTCTGAACATTCGTCTTTCCACGGACTACATGTAATTGCCAAACGCAAAGAGTCTCTCTGCTTAAGCAAGCACCGTTGTGACGCTTCTGAACATTTCAGGGTCTTGAGTCGGCGGTGGGAATTCCACATTTCTATTGCAGGGGCCATTCTAAGCAGGACAACCACTCTTGATTTCCCACCAAGTGCCACCACCGGCTTATCGACCGTAAAAAAAAAGTTTATTGAAAGTCAAGTGCTCCAATCATAGCACGAACAAATGTATTGAGTCCTATTTCATTTTGCACATTGTTGCCCGTTACAACGTTGAACGAGGTTAATTCCCGAAAATTGTATATTTTTTCGTGCAGGCATTTTCTTCCAGAAGATGTGGTCATGGTTAAAGTATAGACAGAAGTCGTAAGCTATTGTTTTCCAATGTTTTTTAGACGGAGGCGGGAAGGCATATTTGCAGTTTTTTTTTGCCACGTTTGTAACCATTAACTTGCAAATAACAGTTTTGAAGAAGGCATAAAATGTAAGGATAGCAGAAAAAACTAAAAGCATAAATCCCTCATGGTGTTTATTGACAACTTTATGGCATCGTTAGAAAGCACTGTAAAAAATGCCATCATAAAACGGAAGATGGTTTCCAGTGTTTACGTGAGAAAACATGCGCTCCTTTGGTTGCATTATTTGCACAAATAAAACATCAACTATTACATTTCGTCACAATGTGCATTACGTTCATGGGATCCTTTATCGGCAATAAATACTGTGAGTTGTCTTAATAGTTGCTCTGTTACCACGGGTACCATTAAAACATGTTTCTTCATTTTAACCACTCTGCTCTGTATGGTGTGCCATGTGAATATATATCAGTGGTAGGCTACGTACAGCGTGAAAGAAGTTCAACATACTGTACCTAAATGCATTTTGAATACTTGTTGGGACCATCCATTCCTTAGTGTGTTATGATTTCGAGTGCGTAAACAAAAATACCTGAGTGAAAAAAGCAGGGAAGTGGAAATTATACGCTCTATATATATCCTCAGTTAAAACGGCAGTCAAAATGCCACATCAACCCAGTGTCATGCTTGTACTGTCAACGCAGTTTCTCTGCTAATTATGTAATCCAATAACTGCCTTTTCCATATTCCTATGGTGCGGGTGAGTCTTTGCATGTCGACGCCCTGTCGCCTTAATCTACAATGTAGGTGTTCGTATCCAATGTAATCCATATCTAGGCCCGTGTATTTTTTTTTTACCAACGCTTGTCAAACCCTCCACCACCTGACAAAATCGCCGCTGTCAGCTTCCCTTCAAAGTGGCGGTGCTCGTTGTATTTAGCCTGAAGTGATGAATTGGCCGAGTCAACACCCGAATGGGATTTGAACTCAATATTCTGATTGCAAGCTGCACGTTCTGCCGCTGTGCCCCGTGGCCGAGGCCATTATAATACAGTGCATTATTTCTATACCACCGTCCAGTGCCAAGTCCCGTATGGAACTCGCAGGGGATTGAGGTGTCGAGGATTTGTGAAAAGGTACATCCAAAGAAGGCGTGTACATCTAAAGAAACTGAAAGGTCATTCCGCAATCATAAAGCACGAAACCGCTCTAAGCATGGCCACATGTTGCACTGTGCTTGAGAAGTAAGCGAATCTTGGTTTGAAGCTTTCGTGACTGCAGGAATCCATACTCTCTGGCTCTTTCGGTAAAGTCACGTGGGTAGTTAAAAAATAATAGATCACGACGTTACGATCGCCGCACAAGCAATCGACGATACGGGACTTTACCGAGAGAACCAAAGAGTTAGTGAGCCAGTCAAAATGTAATGTGTGCCAGGTTAGGAAATCTACCGTGTGTGAGACGGTCGTATTTATGAATGTGTGTAGAATTATGACAGTTACGCGGCGCACACCCACACACACACCCAGTGCACCACCCACACCGCACTGGGTGCGGGTGGATAATTGGCCAACGTGGACTCGTGACAGTTGGATATGCGATGTTGTTCTGTGCGTGTCAGTGGATATATATTTCGTAGCTCTTGACATATTAAGACGCCTCTGCGGTGAAACTGTAGAGTAGTTGGGTGCAGATAACCCCTTTGGCCAAACTGCCTCGCGTCAATCGTTGGGCATGCAGATGGTTTGACGAGACGACTGCAGCAGCAGCAGCAGTCGAGTTTGTAGAGGTCTGCAGCAGCTTTGCACAATGGCAACAATCTCATTAGTCGCTGGCAGACGCAGCGCTTTTATTAAAGCAATTTGAATGCACATCGTATCCTTGTGTCAAAGGCGGCTTCTGAGCATTTTTGGAATTCACAACAACAACAGAGCTGGTGCAGAACTTGCGTACAGCGTGAAATGCCAACTCCCATGTCCTCTGGTTTTTATTAGGCACTCGGGGAAACTAACACGAACCCCAAATGTCTCTGTAATGTGCTCACGCACATTTGTACACCCACCAGATGTTAAAGACACACCCCAAACTTTTTATTCAAGATGCAGGAAAAAATGCGAGTCTTCTAATCTGAATGTGGCAGGTGGGACTGGATCGCAACACCGTAGATTTATACAAGTGACACTTTATATCTAACAATGGCATGATGTCGCACCCCGCAACCCCCTCGCCCAAGTAAATTCCATGCAAAGACGTTACTATTAAATATATATTTTTTCATTTAAAAAAAAGAAATCCAATAGAATTTAATTTCTGTGCTCTTTGGCCGGAGGCGTTGGGCCTTGCCTGGGCGGGTTTGATGCCACCGTGACTGTCCCAGCGATCACAGCCAGGGAATCCGATGTTTCATTTTCAATCCTGCTCAGACTCGCACCAGCGATTCATTAGCTTCTCAAACTAAACTTTAAGCACGGGCACAATTGTACGTGCACGATTTCTGTATTCACTGCATATTATTTGCCCTGTGTAGTTTCACACCACTGTAGATGGGGTTTTTTTTTTGCAGCAATGATGCAGTAACAAAAGCCACAGTTTTTTTTTTAGTAGTCGTGATGTTGCGATAGAAAACAGGCAATTGTAATGTTGCACTTGCATCCAAGTTGAACATGATCAGTTCAAGTACTGCTCTTTTCTTTCCTGATGTTCAATTGCAGTGAAATTGAGTGAAATTTGCACGCTTATGATAATAGTCCACTTCTGTCAGGGTCACACACTAGGGGAGGTCCTCCTTTCAAATTGTGTTCTGTGGTCAACTTAACCCATCTGCTCTTGTAAATTACAAAAGTGAGTAAGTAGCACTTTATGGGAAGCCAACTATAGTCGGTCATCTTGTGGAGAGACTGGTCTCAACTACTGGAATGAGGAATTTCCACCAGTGGCACAATGGAGATGAATACAGCTTTACATTTGCTTGAACTTGAGACACTGACTGCACAGTTGCCCCTTTGTGTGTTAAGTACAGGACGGTACTTTGCTCCAAATTTAGCTTTTTTTCTGCAGTTACTAAATATATTCAGTAGATGGCACATGGAACGCTTCCACTGTAAAATAATTGTTGCAGTTCAATGGAAACACTGTTCAAAAAATATAATAATTCAGAGCGAACAAGTGGTGCATTTATGTGAAGCAGTAAAGTTCAGATGCTCGAATGAAGAGGCACATTGTTCGGTAATTTTCTTTATATTTATTGACAAATAATTCATTTCAAATGTGGCAGGCTTTGGTTACAAATGATCATTGATCTGGCATTTTGAAATGCCAGATGAACTATTGAAGGAAAATACAACTCTTAATTCTGGGCAATCTGAGATAATATAATCGTTCTATTGGAACAGTGTATTATGTCTTCTTTGGTTCTTTCGGTAAAGTCACGTAGAATGTATTGAGACCTAGGACTTCGAGCATAAGACAAGGTTACAGTGTTTTGTGTTGTTGTCAAGCTTTGACTATAGCCTTGGGCAGAGGTGGTGTGCTGAAATGAATAGAATCTTCTGGATCAGTAGTCTTCACGAGAAAAAAAGTAAGAATATAAATAATGTTTTGAAGGTAAAACTCAACCTGCTGAATGTGTCTCGTGGAAGGCGTGCACTCGTGTAAATACCTTCAACTTGTTTTGAGGTTCATATTTCGGATGTAAACACTATCCAGCAGGGTCTTTCAATGCAGCATAGTTCGATACGAACTCCGTAACTTATTTTAACTGCTGCTCTATTACATCGCTCATACTACGATATTTCCACTTAGTCAAAATGGCCAGAGGACTTTGGTGCCAGAGAAACTACAATATTGTTCTGATGATTTCCATGAGATTAGCTTTGAGGCTGTGCGAGTTTAATTACAACCATGTTGAGTTTTTTTTTTTCAAGGGATGTGGCGCTGATCCTCGGAGCCGCGCGGCGAGTTTCTCCAGACGTGCACTTTTAGAGATTTGCCGCCCACAACCAAAATAGCCATCGGGACTCACCTAACCTTTTCAGTATAAAATATATATATGATTGGGATGCGTCAGCGTTGTATACAGAGCTTGGATAATGATACACGTTTGGGTGACTGACTTTGGGGCACCGCGGTTTATACCTCTCACCTGTTATGCATGAGGTCGTGGGTTCGATCCCTACCCTGACGCCTGTATATTGGAGATGGCATGTTCTCTCTATGAACGTGTGGAATTTTCTCCGGGTCCTCCTCCAGTTTTTCCCCTTTTAGAGTCAACGTGTGTTTAGATTATTTGGCTGCTGTACATATCCACATGATGAGCCATTTTTTTTATCTATCATTTGTGGCCAGGTCGCTTTTGAAAACGGGCTAATAGCTCGGTGAGCTTTACCTGGTAAAATAAAATAGTTGTTAAATGTCATCTCTCTCTCTCCCCCTATCTCTCGCCTTGTTCATTTCTAGTTGGTCGAGGGCCGGGCGCCTGGATAGAGTGAGGGAGCCAGACGGACCCAGCAGAGACGGCTGGGCTGCTCCGGCTGGAGGTGCCCGGTGGGGCCGGGGCACCCACTCCAGTGGCAGGCCTGAGCGTGCCAACCTTGAGGTAAGCCCGTCGTCACCAGCGATCTTCAATTGAGCATCTGCATTTGCTTCTTGAGCAATGCCACACATCTCTATTGTTTACGCTGCACTGATAATAGTAATACATAACACAATGGTTACATCATTGCATTACGCGTGTAGGAGGCTCCAGTCAATGTTTGAATATATTTTTGTGCGAGCGGTTATCTCCTGATGGATGGGGCATTGTGTATATATAGTCGTCAAAATGTCTTCTTGCTTAGTCAATCTTTTGGCGGTGTTCCTTTGCATTTGTGGTCCAATGCCAGTGGCTGAAATTCCTCCTGTTGCAGGGGCCAAGTGTAAATCTCCGCATAGGACAGCCGCAAATGATGTTCCGTAAAACTCTGTATGATGCGATTAACTCGGGAGAAGTTCTGCACCGAATCGATCTTCCCATTAATTTGCTCCTCAGAGGCTGTGACCCCCCCCACCCCCCGCCATCGCAAAAGTCAAATTTTCACCCTTGTCCTTAGCGACCTCGCTGGCAAAGAGCGCCGCCGCATTACCCATTCGAGCGGAGGAGGGCACTTGGCATTTTTAGACTGGCTGATGGCACGACAATGGCTGACGTTGTTCTACAGGAGTCGGAGGGCTCTGTGCGTTTGCGGCGTGAGCGGGCTGCGTCTGCGGGGCTTCTGGACCTGCCTGGGGTCGGCGCGAGCTCCGGGGCGTGGCCAGACACGCACACGGCAGCGTCGCGTCTCCAAGATTCTACGCAGAGGCCCTTAGGTATTCGCAATATCTGTTATTGTCGGATCTTTTTTCTCCCATATTTCCCATTGATCCCGACAGTGCTATGAGCACATGTTGCGTAATGTATGCCACAGCGACTGATGATGCATGCTCACCCGGAAGTGTGATTTTTTTTTTTAAATGAGTTTGCGTTGTATTGAAACATGCCGTCTTTCAGAAACGTACTTCAAAGGCTTTTATGTTATCGGTCTGTAGTTGTTCTTTTAACCTTTTTCCCGACATCGATGCAATAAAGTTTGTGAATTGTGCACGAGAGCTCGACAGGAAACTTCAAAGAATTTGGGGCACGAATACTAACAAGGACTTAAATAAGAGAGGCTTTTGTGTTGTAACAAATAATGCGAGTGCCTTTGCTGAACGGGGAAAAAAGCGAGATTATGAGATTAACCAATGTTGATGCGTTGAAAACTATAAAGCGACGTGCTTGGCTGTTACCTCGCGAGCAAAACGCCTGGCGCGCTCTTCCTTTCCAATTAAGGGAACGGCTTACCGAAGGGGATAATTACATTTCACACTGTGAGCCAACCAATTAAATTCTCAAGATGACGGGCCGTGCCACCGACCTGACCCCTCCGCCCCCCCCCCCCCCGTGCGTCTGTTGCCCCCCGGCAGCGGCGACCAAGAAAGGGGCGCCCCCTCCCAAGTTCCTGGCGAAGCGCGACGGCTCCGAGCCCTACGCCACGGCCGCCACCTCGGCAGGAGACGGCGCGGGCAAGCGGAGTCCCGAGGCCAGAGCCACGGAGCACGGCGAGCGTCGCCGAGGGGTCCCCGGGGAAGCCTCTGCAGAGGTACCGCCTTGAGCTCCTCCTCCAGCTGCACTGTGGGCCCTCGGGGAGGGGTGGGGGCGGGGCGGGGAACGGTGCACCTGGGATAGAATGGTTGGACTTGCGAATTACAATGGTGCGTCTGTAAAGGATGAAGCCTGTTTAAGGTTCAGCGCTGCGGGTTGGCCCAGGCAACAACTGCAACAATTGTACAATTCTGGTTGTTGCTCTGCACGGACTGGCGTCGGTGTAAAGTAGGAGGAGGAGTTGATGCACTCGGGTTACGGGTGACGTGATGGTAAACAAGCCCGGACCTGTTGGTGGCAGCTTGGCCGTTAGGTCTTGCGCTAAGGTTAAGAGAGATAAAGGGACGGATGAAAAGTCTAAATGTCTGCCTGCTCTTTTAAGCGTTGGGGTGACTCTCATCTCTACTCGCACCTCTTGAGCCCCACTGAGGGGGGGGATTTCTACAACCTCATTGTGGGAGCCGTGCTCTCCTTAGGGCAGCCGTTTTGACCTTCCACACAGACAGTGGCGCTCAGTTTATTGTCCTCAGGGACACGAAGGACTGTGTTGTGTGCCTGCCGCCCCCCACCAACTCAGATTTTTACTCGGGGGGGGGGGGGGCCTTTTTATCGCCAAGTCGGGTGGTCTGCTAGAGCGCCGCTTGGCCAGATGTGTGGGCAGATGGCCTTTAAAGACACGGGGAGGCCATTGAGGGACACGCATCTCCATTGCATTGCCAATCTTGGCGAAGTGCATGGGAAATTACAGGCGAAATGAAATCGTACGCAATGCAAACAATAGAAATGCACAAACTTCAAAAGTTAATTAATTGATTAAATCAATACTTCGCAAAAAAAAACGGTAACTTCGATTGGTTTTATAGTTTGATTGAAATTAAATTCTACTTGTTCTCTTGAGGGGTGACTGTCATCACAGTTATAATTTTATAATGTTTTGCCGTCACATATGGCCCAATCGAATGTGCTTGATTCGTCTTCAGCTAAGTCGGCTAGATCCAAGGTATTGGACGGGAGACTGCCTGGGAATACCAAGTGTTGTCGACTTGGCCTGTACAGTGTCCAGTAAATGGTTTTAGCGGAACGGTAGATTATTTAATCTATCTGTGCGGAGCTTTGAATGTTTTTTCCCCCTCGTCTCATCTGGGGTTTTTCTCCAGGTGTTGTTTTCCTCCCGTCCCTGAAGGGAATGGCTGCATTTCCTCAATGCAAAAACCCCCTCTGAAAAAAAAAACGTTTCAATGAGGCTTTTGTTAGGCAAATAAAAGGCCGTTGTTATTTGCTACTGCTACAACAACAGTTGACACAAACGACGGTTGATGTCGCCCCGTTGTACAGAACAGCTCTCGGTGACCATGCTCAATGGTACAGTTAAGAAAAATAACGAAGCATAGGAATACGCAGCCAGCGCTTTTAATCAGTTCATCCGTGTGTCAATATTTGCAAATGTAGCCCCGTGTGTTTCATTGTGTGCGCGTTGGACCACTCTCCCTCTATCTGTGCTGGCAAAGTCCAAAACATCGCCCGTGCGTGAACGATGAGGTTATCCTCCTCCTCCGCTTGGTACAGTGGGAATTGCTGAAGCAAATAGAAAGTGTAACGTTCGCTGCCGTTTCGCACTTGTGTGTGTAACCCATCACTTGGGCGGAGGTTCTTATTCCGGCTCTTAGTTGCTTGTCTCCATGGGCATCCACCAGCCGGTCGGTAAAGTTAGTGCCTCTTTATGAAAACGCGAGCAGTCCTCGTCACGGTAATAATCCATATTCTTAGCTCTTTCGGTAAAGTCAACGTGACTTTACCGAAAGAGCTAAGAATATGAATTACTGCAGTCACGAAAGCTTTAAATCAAAACGGTAATAATCGTTATAAAATTTAGGCCGCTTTATGAATCCGCTGCTGGATGAAGGCCTCATCCACACCACGTTTCTATCGGGAGCTTGTCCAACTATACTTCCCCACTTTGGTCAGTGTGGGTTGTTGGAAGTGGTGGGGAGCGGGGGGTGTGGCAGTACCTCCCAAGATAATTCGAAACAATTTTATTTCTCTAGAGAAGCCTCGCCGAGTCCCAAGGCTCTTTCCTTTGACATGTTTGGACGATTGCATCTTGTAATTCAGCAGACTCGGCAATATAGATTGTCAACCCCCAACTGACATTTCATCTCGCGACTCTTTCGATTTGTGAGTTCCTTTAAAAGTACGGCGGTAATTGGCCGAGTGTTTAAACGCTCTCCGTTAGGCATTTATTCGTGGCTATTAAGCAACAAAAAAACAGAAGTCAACCGTAGGCGATTCACGTCGTGACATTCGATTGTTCAATCCGCCCAGCCCGGCGTGAGCAGCGGCGAGCCCGTGGCACCGCCACCTGCCACGCTGGAGGCGATGCCGGGCAACTTCCCTCCCCCCCCTTCGTCTCCGCCACTGCCGCCGCGCCCATCCCTGGCGCCCGCCATCTCCTCATCGTCTTCTCCTCCGGCTCCCTCGCCGTCCCTCCTGCTGCCCCCCCAGCAGCTGACGGACAGGCCCCCCACAGCCATGGACACGTCCGCTACTCCCAGGTGCGTACGAAAGGGCATCGCAGTCCGCTGCCCCACCCTTTGTTAAGGGATGCAGAAAACTTCCTGGTTTAGCCGGGGATGCTGATGGCTCGTCCTGGTTTTTTCTGAAATGTCGGTAAAAATCAGGATGGTCATCCCCCCCCTCCCCCTGGTTTAATGTTTTTTTAACTCATGAGAGTAAGTAGTCGGCAGGGTTGGCAGAGGATTAGCTTGGCTGGATCAAGCTAAATATTATTATGGAATGTAAATGTATTTGCCCGTGTAAATATTGACTAATTGTGTATTACGTATTCATCAGATGCTTTTCCACTGTTCTCTTAGGATTGAAAGCTTCATGGACAACAACAAGGCTGTGAAGATGGTCCCAGTGATGATCGTCAGATCCGAATCAAAAGACATCAGGAGCCACCAAACAGCTGCTGCCCCCGACAGCCTCGTGCCCACCACGAAGCCGGAGCCCCCTGTCGTGGAGCTGCACCTGACGTCCGCGCAGAACAGTGCCGACGTAGAGAGGAGCGCCGCGGAGACCAACCCGGAGCGCGCTTCCACGGCAAACCAAGAGGCGGAGGAAGAGCTCGGCAAACCGGAGAAGATAGGCGAGAGCTCGGTGTCGGCGTTTGTGAGTTTCCAGCCGTCCAGGAGTCAGCAGCAGCAGCAGGAGAAGGTGGTGGACAAGGAGGAGGAACAGAGGCAACAGGAGGACGAGGACCGCAAGACTGAGCAGCTCGCCAAGGAGATCGTCGGCAAAGACCGCTCGCTCGCAGACGTGCTGGCGCCTGGCGTTCGGACGGCGCGTGAGCTCATGGAGGGCATCTTCCCGCAAAGTGACCCGGCGCTTGGGGAGGCCCTGCAGGCTCGCCGCAAGTCCCAGCCGCGGGGGGCGGGCGCCGCAAAGGCCGCCGGCGACGGGGCAGAGAGGTGGGCGTCCGCGACGTCGCGCTGCGTGGCGCAGATCCCGCCGATTTGGCTCGTCAACTGATTTGTTTACTTTCTTCTTGGAATATTAAGATTCGTAGTCTGCGTCTGTTATGAGCGTTACTTACTGTCAGCGATGCAGATCTGAAAGCGGCAAGTGTAAGCCTAAACGACTAAGTCGTGTTGAGGTGTGAAAGACAAGAGGAGGATAATGAGCGAGTTTAACGAAATGGAATGAAGAAGGCAAAGGGGGACGGGCGGGGGTCTGTGCCGCTATGCGGCAAGAAAACGCAGTTTCCATGGTGAGATCAAAAGCACTGGCAATAGCATTTGTAGGTTGACGCACAGTTGGAAAAATGTGCAATACAATTAGTCAATTAATAATATGTGCAGGAACCTGTCAAGTCGGTGTTGAAATGATTGCTCATTTGACTTCCTGCGCCTGAAAAGGAGAGGGCCTTTTGGAGGAAATTCTAGGAAACGTGAACTGCAAGGTTTATTTGTATGATACCTGGGGGTGGGTGTTTGTCTGTGTGCGTGTGAGAGATTGTGGATACTTTTAAATGTTTGTTTTCGTGCTGTGCTGCGATCCCAGCGAAACTGTCGCGTTCCCCGATCTGTAAAGGCAGCGGGAATTGGCGTACGATCTCGAGCTGCTCAATGAACGTCGGCGCACAGTAGATCAAATGCGTCCGTGAATTAATAGGTGCTCACCAACGGGGGGATATCATTGTCAATCTGAACACAAGTATTTCAACATGTATTTAAATGCATTTGCTCATGTTATTTTGTGACGAGTGGTTTACTTTTTGGTTATGCAGTGTAATTTAACTTGTAATTGAGTACATGTTGTCTTTTTAAACTATATAGATGTACAGTATATGATTGAGTTGTTCTCTAGATAGACTTTGTCTCAGTCAAACGTTTGTGTCATTTCCACAGTCCCCATGCGTGATGAGCACTGCCCAAAACTCGTTTAGACAGGGAGGTCACTTGACTTCTTAACTTTGATGCATTGTCCACTGGTAGTAAAGTTAGACTTGTTTTTTTCACATTATTTATAGACAAAGACCCCCCCCCCCACCCCGTGTAGCCTTAACATACTTTTGGGACTAGTGCTGTTAGCGAGCACCTATGAAGTCCGGCACAGCACACGAAGGGAGTGGGTGGCCAGCACCACACCTGGCCGCCTTTGTGTCCCAAGTGGCGACGTTTCCGCACTGTACCAGGCACTCATTTGAGGCTGAGTCGACCTAGGGGAGGCCCAGAACCGGTTCAAATATTCACCACTGATATTGGGCGCGAGCGGGAATAGATCTCGCGTCGCTGGGTTTGGGAGCGCACCGCGCTAACTGCTGTGCCGCCATCCCGTCTTGCGGTATATGTACACCGCATGACTGACACAGCATGGGTAGGCTTTCATCTTGCAGTGGATTAAAATAAAGTATTTTGTATTATATGTAGTATATACTATATATCGTATATACCATAATTCACTCGTCCCAGCGAATACATTTCTAGGATTGATTCTTTCCCGACGAATTTGTTAATCTCATTTGTATCGTTGCTCATTGGTACACATTTGGTTCAGTACATCAGCCTATAAATGTAACCGTGGCATCTTATTTCAACCGTTGCACGCGAAGGAGAGAGGAAGCGGTCTCCCCCACGGCGCTGCCACCGTGCCCGGCCTACTACAGTGTGTCCGCACCCAAAGCCGAGCTGCTCATGAAGATGAAGGACCTGGTACCCTCGGTGGACGACGACGCGGACGAGGAAATCGACCCGGACCTCACGGAGAAGAAGGTACGACACTCGCTCAGAAGGCAGAGCCCGTGGGGAGGGGGTGGAGCGTACACCGCTCATCCCGTGGTTGGTAAATCGCGTGGATTTAGTACCGAGATTCCTCTTAACTTTCCGGAATGAAAGGTGGACAGGAGATGGAAATGCAGTGGGTGCGTTTGTGTGCTATGGCCTGCGTTGGGTATTTTTTTGGGTGCTGCCGTTTCCTCCCACATTCAGAGTATTTGGCTGCTATAAATGTCCACGTGATAAGCCACTTCGTTGAGCTATCATTTGTGGCCAGGTCGCTTCTGAAAAAGGGCTACGTGGCTCACTGGGTGAAAAAAAAAAGTTTATAGTTTATTCAGATCAGGAGTCAGTGGAATTGCTCAAGTGGAAAAGTACAGGACTATATGGAGATATAGCTGATTTAGCTTTCCTAGATACGTAAATGATTATTCTCGTTGTGGTACATGAACAGTGTCCATCACAGAAATGTTGTTTATCCAAAACAAGGTATTACGAGTTAATATTTTTCAGATCGGGTGAAGAAAAGGTAGAACGTTGTTCTCACTTTGGCAAATTTAGTTTGTATTATGTTCAGATGAAGGCAATGTTTTATATGGATGTAAGGGACAAAGTGAGACCATTAAAAATGCTAACACCTTTGTCATTTCCTTATAACAGAACACATTGTGGGCTCGCCTTTTGTGGTTTGAAGAGGCACCCGTTTTTTTTTTCCACAGCAGAAGCCGAACCGTGCCGCTAACGTTCCAGATTCAATTCAGATGTCTTCAGAACTCGGCATATCGCAGTTTGTTTCTGGCCCTGTGTGGCAAATAGCTGCTGAGGACCCTGGTGCCGACTCGGCTCAGATGTGCCAGTGGAATTGGCGTCGAGGTGCCACCCCGATTCTCGGTGCGCGTGCGCTCTCACTTACACGCGCACTCACAAGCGCGGGCTGCTGCCACCTCCGCGTGCGGGCAGGCGGAGCTGATCGCCAGCATCGGGCGGAAGCTGCGCACGCTGCGCGAGGCACGCGAGCTCCTGCTGGAGGACGTGCGCGACAACGAGGAGCTGGGCCGCGAGGTCGAGGGTTCCGCCGAGGCCTCGTGCAAGCCCAACGAGCTCGACAAGTTCCGCATGTTCGTCGGCGACCTCGACAAGGTGGTGAGCCTGCTGCTGTCGCTGGCAGGCAGGCTGGCGCGCGTCGACAACGCCATCAACAGCCTGGGCACCGACGCCACCGCCGAGGAAAGGGTAAGCGTGGCTCTCGTCGTTGTCGTTAGCGGTGGCCGCGGGCCGCCTGGTGCCGCCCGCTCTTAGAGTGGCGTTCTTCGTTGCAAGGCCCGCGGGCCCCTGGTGGCCTTTAGTTCGGCCCCTGACGTGCGGCTCCCAACAACACACAACGTGTGAAAACACCCTCCATCATCATTGTGCTGTGAAACCCCAATGGTTTTCAAATGTGTCGCGGCCCTCACACTGGTGTCTTATCATTGAAAGTGGAACCCCCTCTGAAAATGAGTGAAGGACACTGCACTAGACGGTGGTGTTGCAGCACTTCCCTCCGCTGGTCTCTGCCCTCTGCTGGTCTCGCCGCTTTGTCGATCTGCCCGCCTCCGTCCATTCGCTTGACATCATCTGTCCATAGCCACCTTGCTCTACTTGGGACCGTGCATTGAGACAGCTAGCAGATTGCGGAGGAGGCTTCCACAAATCGATGTTTCCGTCTGCATTTGCAATGAACATCGTGCCGTGAGATAACACTTTGGGGTGTGCCCGTTGTTTACATGACTTATGCAGAAGGCCTTTGGAGGTTTTAGATTCTTCAAGATCATAGAATACTACAATCTAGGGTGCTATGATGGTGTTCCCGATCATAAGTCCGTTTTTTCATGAAAGATTTAGAAAATGTGTGGACAGCGTAGAACACGCAGCCGAGGTGTGTAGCTAGAAGGACGGGTTGTTGTTGTTTCCCTTTTCATTTGTGCGCGTCAATGGGTGGAGTAGAACCACACACAATGTTTTTGGTGGAGGGATAGTGGGGCGGGGGAAGGTGGTGGGCGTGACATCGAATGAAACCCCTCTTCTCTGTGTCCCTCTATTCCCCCCCTGTCCCACCCACCCACCGACCCACCCACCCACCCACCGACCCACCCACCCACCCACCCCTCGGCAGCAATCGCTGGTGCAGAAGCGCAAGCTGCTGTGTAGCCAGCACGAGGACGCGCGCGAGCTCAAGGAGAACCTGGACCGGCGGGAGCGCGCGGTCGACGTGATCCTCGCGCAGCACCTGAGCGCCGAGCAGCTGCAGGACTACCGCCACTTCGTCAAGATGAAGTCGGCGCTGATCATCGAGCGGCGAGAGCTCGACGACAAAATCAAGCTGGGCGAGGAGCAGCTCCGCTGCCTGCGGGAGAGCATGCCGCCCGAATGCCGCGCCGCCGCCACCGACTGAGATGCCAACTGAGACCGGGGAGCCAGCAGCTACCGGGGGATGGGGGGCTCGTGCACCACCCACAGTCCGTTAGAGTGTAGGGTTCCGCCTTTGCGTTGCTTTGATTGCTCGGAGTCTGCAAAGTGCCCGAAGGGGGGGGGCGGTGGCGGTGGTGCTCGGCTCCATCGCCGGTCACCGAGCCCGTGCTGGAGTTTACACCTTCCCATCGTGGCGGTCCGCTGTGCCTGCGGTACGGCTACGGTTGACATCCCACAATGTGGAGGCTTTTAATGTTACAGACCATCCTGAGAGATGATGAGGAGCCCCCCGGCTGGGTTAGGAATCTGGCCCAGTTGATGGTGAATCAAGCGCGTGCGATGACCGCAGAGCCACCCATGATGAATTTGATTGTTTTACACGCACGCCTCACATTTTTTTTCTTTTCTCATTTGTTAAGCCCACTCTGTGGGAGGGGAATTCAACGGTGGTTGACGTGGGAAGCCTGGTCTCCACCAGAAGGAAGCGGAATTTTCACCGCTCGCTCGGAGAGGTCGGATCGAGCGAGCGAGCTCCGCCACCCTGCGCTCGTTTAGCCGGGAGACGATGGACTTCCTCACTTTCTTCGTGGCCCATTTTTGTTTCCTTGAAATTTATTTATGTAGCATTATTCTCGTTAGCAGTTTTAATTTATTATTTTTGAGTTACAAACAAACCACTTTGATTAGAATTCACATTTTTACCATTATCGTTTTTATTGTATTACAAAGCATTATTTTACGGGATTTTTTTTTTAATATGCATAAAAAATACACTTTGTGACATCGGTTTCCACGTAATGCGTTTGTGCAAAAAACTCCTGGGCCTCGAGTTACAGCCTCAGTCGGTGCTTATACAAGTTTCGAATGCACTCTGCGAAAGACGAATAAGCGATGGCAGCCCTGAGCCCCTGGTGGAAATTCCATCTGGTCCGGTTGACTGAACATTATCGCGAGCATAATCTTTGTGTGTGTTTTGTGTTTTTCTGCAATGTGGATGTGCACCGTCCCATCGGTGATTACAACCCCCACAATATTTTGGCCTCAAGATGGTCTGGGCATAAGTGGCGAGGATGGGGGATGCTTCTAGAATAAGTCACCGCGGCGCTCTAGCATTCCAGCGCGGGGATATTGCGTGTTTAAGAAAGAATGCTTTGAAACGCATGTTCTCGCGGTGTAGAAAACGCTCGAACTGTTCAGCCCACTTGATATTGGCTGCAAATTTCGTTTCATCGCTCAAGGCCTGCTCTGCTTGTAAAAAGGGGTGCGGACGGAGGAAGTGGTTTCTCCGATTTAGCCATCACAAAATCTTCTCTTGAAGCGCGCACCAAATGAGCGGAGAACATCTGCGTGGCGCATCCTTGCAAAGCATGAGCAGCAACCGTTGACGTGAAAAAAGACTTCCACGCTAAACTTTAGAAGCGGACAAAGGAACTTTCCTGACGGAAAAAAAAAACCAGAAGCAACAAAACAAACTGCAAAAGTGGATTCGTACGAGGAAAGTTAGCCGGAGACGTTCTCGTGCAAACTGAAGGTGCCAGTGGGTGCTTGGCAGATGTAAAGTTAATTATGCAAAGAAATTTGCCACTTTTATGAAAGTGTTAAGGTAAAACTTTGTGTACTAAACGAAGGTACATTCTCTGTGCGGCAGCGGCGGTGGCAGTGGTGGTGGCGGCAGCGGCGCACGGTGTGTGGTGCGCGTGTAGGAACACTTGGGCCGCCACACCGTGCGCGGTGTGTCGCTGTGGTGCCCCAGCGGTGGTGTCGCGGTGTCGTGGCGTGCCAGCCGTTGGGAGGAGCGCGCCGCCTGGCAAAGAGGACTCGCGGAAGAGAAAGGATGAGAATTGTACAATGGCAATAAACGTGATGTCGTAGAACTTCATTAGCACACTATTAAAAAAAAATATTAAAAAAGGAGAGATCGAATTGTATAATTATACTGTAGTGCCTTCAACTGTTGCACATGCGTATTTATAGCTGTTATACGTGGCTTCTGTACTGAAACTTTTACTTATTTCACTCTTTTATTTGATTTCATTTTCCGCAAGCGTGCCATGTAGGCTTGTGGCTGTGCATAGCATTAGCACGATAGATGACATCGATATAAGTATCCAATTGATCAATAACTCGATAATTCCGTTGACAGCATGCGTTTTAATGTTAGAGTTCATGATGTGTTATTATCTTTCTGGCCGTTAACCCAAGGCTGTGGTGTTAGGAACCAAAACGTATGGGTATGTGGAAATTTCTGTGCTTTTTTGGAGTTGCATAAAGGATTTATTTTACTTTGCGAGTACCAGTGGGAAAGTGTTGGAGGCAATATTATGGAGGCAGTGCCGTCTGATTATCGTGTTTTATTGCCTTCTAACATCAAGTGTTAACCACTTGTGGTTGTGAAGATTAAATCACACGTTATGGACCCAGCCATTTGCAGGCGGTGTAACAGGGTACAGACAACACTGCATTCCCTAATAGGGTGGCCAACGCAGCAGTGCAAGGTATTGTCACAGCAGTTAGATGGGAATATGCTGTTTTGTTTTAAAAGAAAAAAAAACACGAGAACATCAGGAGTCCTCAACATATAAATATACATAAAGGTATATGTTTGGTCAATTTAAATTGATTTAATTTAAATGCCTTTTCCTCATTACACAAACTTAGTAAATTAATATACAGACCACGCGTGGAATTATTATTGGTGATGCCCTGTGTTTTAAACACAGGATGCTATGTTTATCTCTTAGTCTGTATTAAAGATCTAAATGCATATAACTAGAAAACTTTCATACCACTGCTGCATCCCCTATGGTCACATTCTTTCACTTTTCATGAGTGCCAATGTGAGTATCAAGGCACTGTTATAGGCATTATGATGTTCATAACTTGGGAATGTAACGTGCTATGGTGCCTCCTTTTGAGTAGTTTGATTGGGATGTCATAGGAAGGTCATTGATATTTTTGGTTCCATAGTAACGGAGGATCTGGATTTCTAACTCGCGAAATATGTCGTGTTTCGTTGTCGACCAGATTTGTGTGCACTCGCACGATGAAAGGAATTTGCGATATGAGAGCCGGATGGGCTATGATGGGAAGGTTTAATTTTAGGAGTAATCAAACACAACCGAGATTGCTTTGTTGACTCAATCGAAGATGAATTTTCTCGGCAACGTAAATACAATTGCAATGCAGTAGAACCTCATTATAATGACTGGAATTGCGAGGGGGGGGGGGCTTGAGTAATCGATACCCCCTCCTCCCCCCCCCATCACTTTACGATGAGTACTTTGGTTGTCTCTTGCGGTGAACATCTGCATGCGTGTATGGGTTAATGTAGGAACAAGTTGGCGGCATCCTTGCGCGCACTCCATGTTAATGTAGAGCCTACCTGAGTGCAACCACGTCCTTCGAAGCGTGCGCATCTCTGGCTCGGTGTGCCTCTTACAACCAAGGGGTCTCGATGTAGCGTTATTAAAATGGAGCTCTACTGCACTCTGATATCATTTGACGTAGGCGTACATCACGGTGTGAATAATTTATATGCAAACATGGGTCTGTCCGTGTGAACCCCCCTCGTACAGCATTTCATTACACGTGGCTGTATTTATTTGTTCAGCACATTGCCATGTATGCGTGTGATGTGTCACCGTCACTGCCACGAGCTTTTTTTTTTCTCAAGCTCGGCTGCATGTCTGGCTTTTGTTGCCGGGACCGTGAGCTCCGATGAAACGTCGAATGTTGTTCGTGCAAAACAGAAAACAATAATTATTCGAAAAATATTTAAACTTTTCCAAAAAAGAAGAGCTTAATAAATATTCCTGTTTGATAACATCACTTGGCGAAGGTGTGCGGTGTATGGAAATTGTTCGGTATAATTGAGCATTCACCAAAGTTGATGCGAGTACCGTTTCTGAAGTATCTTTGCAAGGAATGTAAAAAAATATATCACTCGTGTTTTGTTGATTGATAAAAAAAATGCTCAGTCTCTGGCAACGAAAAGCTTTTGACATTAAGCCCTCATATTTGCACACTTCACTGTGACGGGACTGAATAAGGAGTGTGTGTATACGTTCGTAGGTGTAAACATTCGCGCCACGCATCGTGAGCACGATGCCCCCCCCCCGCCCCTATAAAACTCTGCGTGTGATGCCGACCGTGCAAAGATTGCAAGGTTATATATATATTAAAAAAGTGCACTCTTGAGTAACAAGCAGGAGTAAAGCTGCAACACTTTGATTTAATGTTGAGAATAAGTAACAAACAAAAAAATCTTGTTAGTCCTGCTTCAAATAATGCTGTGGGCATTTTACGTTTTTTGTTTTGTTTAAAAGTTACTTCTTCGTTGACGTTCAGGTGAACAGGTCGGCGGCGTGTAATTGTCTTAAGCCACCAATTGTCGAAACGTGTAATTCCCTGACAAAGTGATTACCTTTCACGAGCTGTCATGCCGGCCCTGCGCTTTTCTGAATCGTACCACAAACTCGTTGATGCGTTCGTGGTGTTTGGTTTATCACCATTTAGCATTTTGTTCAGTTTCCGGCGTAATCCGGGCGATGCATTCTGCTGTGTAACTGCGACGTTGAAACAGCCTCTCCAGAGCACGGCGATTGCCGCTCCTCCCACCGGCTTGCTCAGATGTTTTTTTTCCCCCCCTCCCTCCCTCACTCGTTTATTTTGTTCTGTAAATCTGTGTACATATTGTTTGAAACTGCCAAGCCAAGTTGTATTAATGTAAGTCTTTGCCTTCAAATGGTCTGGCTTCGTTTCATTCATTGAGTGCGCATCAGTTTCAGCTTCTTCTGCGTGAATGAAAATCCATGAATGTCAGCCCGAAACATTTTCTTTGCCTCGAATATTGTCTATGGCATGGGTGATTAAAAAAATAATAATTAACACATGAAACACGATAAAGATCCCTTGTACAGCCTGTACAGACTTTTTGAATAGGGGGCCATCCCTTTAGTCGGTGAGCAAAAATCTGTCAGAACTTGACCCCTCCCTGTACGCACGTGTACTTTTTACACCCCCCCCCCCGCATCCTATAGAACGGCCGATATTGAATCCACACAGAAACGATCAAGGATGAATAATATTAACGTGTTTCAGCAAACGGTCCACCGCCGGCTGGCATTAAAGAATTAATTTGCATACCTTGGCCACTTATTTTGCCGAGCTGCGTGATAGCTGCAGTCAGGGGTACCGGTGGCACACAAGTGACACCTCTCCCACTGTCCCACCTCTCCTGGCAGTACTTGTTGTCTGACAGCTGAAGACACTGAACTGTGGCTCATTTGAAGGCCAATGTAGACAAATTATTTCCTATGCATAATTACATTGTCAGTAGACCCCCCCCCCCCCCCCATACGCAAGCATACGCGTTTGGGTTAACTCATATGCGTACGTACTAAATAGATGGCCCCTAAGTGATGTTAGCGAGCACCGCACCCGGGCCGCCTTTGTTTTCCTAGTGGCGTTGTGTACACACACACACACCTAGGGGAGGTCCAGGACCAGTTCAGATAAGCGTCACTGGTGTTGGTGTCCGTGAGTAGGATTCGAACTTGGGTCTGAGCACTGCGCGCAAATGGATGTATCACTGCTGGCCCTAATAGGTGCTCGCTAAGGGCACTTGCCTCAACGGTCTGTTTGGTTGGCTCTGTTTCCTGGTTGGACGAGCACATTGACATCAACCTTCATGGGCCCCAATTCACCTTGGCATCTCCCTATTAAAAATTTAAACCGGAACTTTATTGGCAGGAAAATCCCACTGAGGCTATTCGCTCTTTTTCAGGTGACCACCTGGCCACATGATTTCCCATCTAAGTGGCTTATCACCTTACACATGTGGGATTTAAAAGTAGAAGCCAAATCACCTGAACACGTTTCTAAATGTGGAGGGTAAAAACCGGAGTATACTCAAGAAAAATCCGCGCGACCACGGGGAGAGAACGTGCGATCTCCAGGGTCGCGATCGAACCCACGACCTCTTGCATACCAGGCACTGAAGATCGTCCCCCCCGGTGTCATTGACTTGGGGAATGCCGCGTGAACGTGGGGCAAGTGCGTTTGCAACAAGCGTTCTATAAATCGGGCTTCGGCTCTCAGTCTTCCACAAGGCAGCTATAACACAGTCCGTCACCCTTTGAAGTTTACAGCGACCCGCGGGTGCAAAGAGGCAACATCGGGCCATTTTCTTTATATGACTTTATTCGATTTTGACAATCTACAAACAAAAAAGAAATACACATGATATGTTTCAGAAGACCCTCCTGCATCATACTGAAATATACAGCCAACACTTAAGAGCCACCTTCTCAATGATCACAACAGGATATATTAAATGATCCATGCTCCTTAAAATACAGACGTCTACAAGATGAATGAAACAACACAAGGGCTAACCATATGAAATGCTGCAGGACAAAAATAAGTTAACCCATAATTTTCCTGCCCTTATAAAAATAAAAGCAGGTTTACTACAGTAACCATAAACATTTTACAGTGGCGTTTTGGTCATTGTACACCATGGTACTATTGTGCAATTGCTAAAATTAACTATGCTAATACTATGGTTTACCATGTATTTTTAAACCATAGAACACCACGGTTTAAACCATAGAACCACTAACATTAAAGTATCTCTGTAAAATATATTATGCTTTACCGTAGTATGCCGGGGTACATGTTTTATAAGAGTAGTGGCAGTACACAAGGATGGGTCTCAATGCCCATTCTAAATTAAATGGGCCCTTTAACTCGCAGAAGGGAAGGGTGTTCGGCTGCGGCATGCAGCATCATGGTCTTGTGATAACATTGAATTCTGTAGTGGCAAATCATCGAGAGAACAGACAAAAAAATTCATCGCTTTTTATAGTTCATAAGTTTACAATCTTAATTCGTGATTTTAAACAACGAAGTAAATCAGAAATCGTGTTCCATCGGTGATCATTTAATTTATTTATAAATTTTAACGTCACAAACATTGATCACACTATTGTGAAATTTGTAGTTTTGTCTTTAAATACTATATTTCAGCAATGCAACTGTTGCTACTGTTTTAAATATAAGCTCGTGTCCCTAATTAATTGACAGGTATCTTGCAGTGCTTCACGATAAACTATGACCTTTTTTTGTACTCGTTTTTGTTTTTCATGTACAGCGTGATCAGGAATACTTGGCTCCAACAACAGTCTTATTAAGTTAACGTTCTCACATCAACCATTGCTATTGCTCAGGTATTTATACTCCTCTGAGGGAGGGCAATGCACAGCGGTTGCCTCGCAGGCTAATTTCACAGAGGCATCCTCATTGTCGCTCGTTGTGCACATGGAAGAGAGTTGCTGGCCGGGGAGCTCGGGAATTATCCACGTGCTCCGTTCAGTACCGGTTTTGGTATTCCAGGTGCCACCGGTTAAAGTCAATGTTGAATGCCACTATGCTGCCAGAAGCCATGCCTGTTATCAGAGTCCTGCGCAGACGGGCAAGGAAGAGAAGAAAACGATGAGATCAGGGTTCACTCTCATCAGCAGACGTCCGCACGTGACGGTGAGCCGCGCCGTGGTGGATGGCGCACTGCACTGTGATCGCGGCGAGCACACTTTGATCGGTGATATCCAAACCTGCACTGCGGCTTCCCGGGGCTAAATGTTCCGTGCGCGTGGAGAGTTCAACATTACTCGTGTTACAAAAGTCAAAACTGAAAATCTTCAACACCGTCATCAAACACCGTCATCAAACACCGCCCTATGTACGTATTATGTGGAACTTCTTTCGCATCGTACATAGCCAACCCTGCTAATCGGAGGTGCGGAGCGAGAGAGGGATATGTGTGTGTGTGGAGGAGGCTATTGGTGAAGTGTCGCAGAGGTTCGTGGATTAACCCAAAATATTAGCAGCACGTCCCAAGCGCATAATTATCGTGTACTGGCCCACTGAAGAGGCACAAAGCTCAGTGGCTTGCACACAGGTTGAGTTGCACGCACGCTCGCTCGCATACACGCATGCATTGAGGGTGGCGCGCACCTTTGGTCGTGAGAGATGTCGAGAGCCCGGATGCCTGCGTCGCAGCCGGGGTAGATGTAGAGCTGCTTGAGGTCGCACGCGCGCCACACCTCCACCACGCCGCTCTCGCCGCCCGTCACCAGGTACTGCCCGTCGCTGCTCATCAGCATTGCCTGCGCCACGCAGACAGAGATCCACCACAGAGGCTGTTGGGGCAAGTGCTGTTTGCGAGCACCTATTAACCTTTTCACATTCCGATGACGTACATATACCGCATCAGTTTTTCTTACCATTCCATTCCGATGATGTATATTTGCGTCATCGGAACGGAACCGGAATAAAAAGTAAAATAAGATAACTTTATCGGTCCCGAGGCTCCCACAAGGCCATGCGGGAGGGCATGACACAGTTTTGCGCCAACTATAGAGTGTGGTCATGTCTCTACAGTTCTCTGCGGTGAGTGCAATGCCTCTCTATATAAATATTAATGCTAACTGCTTTCACATTCCGAGATTCGGGAAAGAACGGGACCCCACCCTGCAACCTGCAGACATCTCGGAAAGGGTCAAGGCTGGCAGAACAGTTGACTGGGTCGGTGGGGACAGCACCACATGCCTGGCAGTGTTTCGCCCAATGATAACACCAGCATCAGTAATAATTTAAGGCTGAGGTGACCTAGGTGTCGCTCAAGATAGGTTCAGAGTCCACTTGACACTCGTGCGCATGTTTCGCAGGTCACCATGGTCGCAGTTCAGTGCAAAACCACGACCAATACCGCACATCAACAAGTGCATTCGCTTTAAAAAATACTGTCAATTTCCTACAATTCATACACATTCAACTATCCATAAAACACCATTGTTAAAAACCTAGCGCTTATACAGTAGCGTCATAGGATCTGTAATGCTAGTGCAGCAGATAAAAGCTGTTTTGATATCTAGTGCTGAAAAGGACACTGCCTACGACACAGAGTCTCATAGCACAGTGCCGCACATTGGTAAAACTTTGACCCTCTGAAGGCAGCAAAACACCCAGAGTAAACGACATGGCCTAGCATCTTCTAAAATCTGCTCCTCTTACACAATCTCATCAAGTCCGGCTTCTTAATTCTCGATCACCCCCATCGCCATTCCTGTAGTCCCTCCCCTGTCCACGCAACCAAAGCGAGATAAAACCACGTTCTCGTTTTGCTCTTCTATTGCACCGCAACGGTCCAAACGGTCTTGCGTTGGCAGGGCGGCAACGACGAGGCGAGCGGAATCGCGTCTCTCAAGTCCACACGCGTCCGCCACCCACCTTGGTGGCGTCGCTGATGTCCATGTGTCCCAGCTCCTTGCCGTTGATGCTGAAGTTGCAGAAGCGTCCTCGCTCGTAGTAGATGACGCAGTGGCCCTCGCTGGAGACGGAGATGAGGCGTGGGAAGCGGCAAGCCTCCGGGCCCTCCAGGGCCCGGAGCAGGTCCCCCGTGATGGTGTGCACCAGGCAGGGGCCCTCTGCGTGCGCGGAAAATATGAGGCGTGTGTATCACGTTACCCCTCTTAACGACCAACCCTGTTAACGACTAATCAATCGCTTCACGGGCCTGCACAGAGCCCAATGTGTAGTGTTTAGTAGTGTATAGTGTAGAGTAGAACCCCTCTTAACGACCAACCCTGTTCACGACTAATCGCTTGACGGGCCTCCATTGAGCCCAATGTGTAGTGTTTAGTAGTGTATAGTGTAGAGTAGAACCCCTCTGGACAACCACCCCTGTTCACGACTAATCAATCGCTTGACGGGCCTGCACAGAGCCCAATGTGTAGTGTTTAGTAGTGTATAGTGTAGAGTAGAACCCCTCTGGACAACCACCACTGTTCACGACTAATCAATCGCTTGACGGGCCTGCATAGAGCCCAATGTGTTCACTTACCGACCATTCCCCTGTTATCGATGGGCTGAATGAATATTTTTGCATGCTTACTTGTAATATTATGTGTTCATAATTTTGTTAGCATCTTTATGTATTAATATCCATTTTTTTAATATGATAAAGTACGTTTTTTGGGGTGAAAAAGGTAACTTTCTGTGCTATCGGAACGAATTAAGCCTTTAAAATATATTTCCTATAAAACTAGATTTGAAGCCTACGTGACTGCAGGAATTACTCTTTGGTTCTTTCGGTAAAGTCACGTAGAAAGAAAATAAATTAAATAATAGAATACGACGTTTCGATTGCAACACAAGCAACCATCATCAGGTGTGTTGCATTGCATTAAACTTCCTAATGTTACTAAATTTGTTTTCTCACAGTTCCTATTTCTCTCTCTAAATTTTGCCGTGCTTGTCTGTTTCACACTTAACTTCTAATTTAGCAATCTTTGGAAGAATGTAATAAACCAGGCTATAAGTTAACTGTGTGTTAACCGACTCTCTGTGTTGCATTGCATTGCATTACACTTCCTAATTTTACTAAATATGTTTTCTCAAACTTCCTATTCCTCTCTCTAAATGTTGCCGTGCTTGTTTGTTTAAAAGTCCACACAACTCTCATTGTTCTCTACCCCAATCTTCCCCCCCGCCCCCCCCCTCTTTCTGCCACCCCCCCCCCCTCTCTCTCGTTGTAAGGCCTCGATAGAGAGGCGTTGTCTTTCTGTTTGTCTAAGTGTGCGTCTCTCTGTGTGTCTCTGTGTGTGTCTCTCTCTGCTTGTGTCTGTCTATGTGTCTCCGTGTCTGCGTTTTGTCTCTCTCTCCAATTTAGCAATCTTTGTAAGAACGTAATCAACCAGGTAGGGTGTTGACTGTTGTGTTGGCCGACTCTCTGTGTTGTATTGCATTGTATTTATAAGTTCACTAGGTTTGTTTTCCCATTCATTCTTACCTGATGATGGTTTCTTGTGTTGCAATCGAAACGTCGTATTCTATTATTATTTAATTGCTTTTCTTTCTATGTGACATTACCGAAAGAACCAAAGAATACTTCCTATACTTGCTTAACGACCAAATAAACAAACGACCGGTTTCATGGAAGCAATTGCCGTCGTTAAGAGGGGTTCTACTCCTTCCCTGTGTGCAAGGTAAACGTACAGGCTCTGCAGTTGCTCGTGGAAGGGCCTGCACTAGAAAGAGCTCCAAGGAGCGCTTCTAAAAATGTTCTTTGGAAGAGCGGTGTCCCCCATATATACTGTCAGGTGGATAGAGCGGTGTCCCCCATATATACTGTCAGGTGGATAGAGCGGTGTGCCCCATATATACTGCCGGGTGGACAGAGGTGCGGGGAATGAAGGAACGCGCCGGGAGGTCGAACCGGCAACCCCTGGATTGTAAGTCCAGTGTGCTCGCCTTTACACCGCAGTGGTATCCACATCCCCATGGACTGACACTTAACACCCTCAGACTGAGTTTTTCGAAAGGCAACAGCAGGACTTGACTTCATTAATGCCGAGCAAGAAACGGTTGAATCTCGTGTCTGTCTGAATTGAGGATTTTGTGTAACTAAGCAGTAATGTGCATACAACTGCATTTTCGTGAAAAGGAGGTCACGATGCGTTGCATCAGCAGTTCTTAACACGCAAATTAAACCACTTCGGCCGGGTTACACAGGTTAATAATGTTAGTGCGCACAGACCTGTTTGTTCGGCCCGAGCAATGCGTGCGCACGTCATAGAGCTGGAAATTCATTTATCAACTCGAAGAGGGACTCTTGGTCTCTGATTAGTGTGACGTGTGAGCGATCCCAGCAATCGCATATCCAGCATAGTGTAAACGTGCGGCAAGAAATCATTGCAAACCGATGGCGTTTCAGTGGTTGCAGTGGAATGGGCACATGTGTACGACAGAAGACGGCAGAGGTCACGGAGACCGGAATTGGAGTGACGCTCGGAGATTTGGCAAGCAATGGGAGGACCAGAAGCCAGATGGTGGGCAAAAACCCTGAACGCAAAAGAATAAGCTGGAAGCTCTCGCGGAAGGAAGTAAATAACAGCAAGACGTGGGTGGTATGCGGGGGGCACATTGGCCGCGGAGTCCTCTTTGAAAGAGATTTGTCCCGTCGTGCAGGCGTTCCGCACCTTTAGCGCCGCTGATGACCAGGCCGAGTTCGGCACAAACGGCAACGCACGTCACCTCGCAGTCGTGGCCCGTGAGGATGGCTCGCGGTGTCGGGTAATCGCCTGCAGGGACGTCACACAGACACGAAGACAAAGATCAGCCGAATGGCATTAACAGACTGCAGGTGTACGTGCTGTTAGAGAGCACTTATGAAGGCCGGTACATGCATACTAGGGTGGGGGGGGGGGGGTGAGGGCTGCCAGCACCACGCCCGACCGCCTTGGTGCCTCACCAGCGGCTGTTTACACACCGCACCAGGTTACTCATTTGAGGCTGAGTTGACACAGGGGAGGCCCAGCACCGGTTCACATAATCGTTGCTGGCGTGAGCGGGAATCGAACTCGGGTTTGCTGGGTTTCGCAGCGTAGCGTGCTGCCTCTCTCACACGCACGCACACACAGTTGAAGCACCTGCTTCATTTGGAATTGCACACAGGAGGGTGGGTGAGGCCAGCATCACACCAACTCAGTTTGTCTTCATATTGCTGCAGAATAGATTCAGATGCCTACTTTACACACGTGTTGTACATGGGTGAGGATTCAATCCAGATTGCTCGAAACAGTAAAACAGTGCACTGACTCCTACGCTTCGTGTATGCACATGAACACACAAACACGTTTTTTTTTTTAAACTGCAAACCCAATGCCTACATAATCCGAGTCATCTGGCTCCACTGCAGGGCCTAAAGAAGGCCATAAATCACGCTTTCGCAATGGCAGAGGTCTTTACAGTACTGCATAACTATTTATAAACGGCAGTGAACTTGAGTTACGAACCCATATTCTGCACCGATGTGGACCACAAAACTTTGAGTCTTATCCCCTCACTGTGCGAGTTTTATCTGGGTACACTCTTTCACTCCAGCATTCGAGAACACTCCTCCGTTGGGAACAGGACCCTCCTGAAACAATCTGGGTACTCTCACTGGTTTCTTTGAGATACTTCATTGGCGGGCGGTGCACAACGGGAGCAGCATCGGTGAGACCATCTCCCGGCTAAGCAGTGGATGGGGCCACTGTCCACAACGTCGCCGATGACATACGCGTCTCATTTTAGTTGCAGTGTTACCGAACATTGCGTTGACCACCTTTTTGTCTGTAAGAGAGTGGCAATAAAATGATAAACTCCTCCTAAGCATTAGGGCCCGCACATGCACGATTTTAAATACATTATGTGAAATAAATGTTTCAAAAATCCACTCAAGAACATAAACAGTGCATTTTTAGTTTAAGCAACGAGCATTTTATTTATTTATTTATTGCATTGTGGCCTACGTGTGTGTACGTGAGCTGGCATGTAATAATTGCTTGTTTTGAAGCCTTCAAATCATGTGGTCATGGGTAGCCAAGGCATGTGCGATGTCAAACCACAGGCAGCCGCCACCCTGCAGCAGATACAGCCACACCTCGACAGTGTCACGTGGTTGCCAAGCCCACACCATGCACTCCCTTCTATTTTTGCTGAATTAATGCCAAGTCCTTCCCCATTGTTGTTGCATGAAGGCGACTCTCTCAAGCACCGTTAGTAAGCAGGTGTGTCACGCTCTTGCGGCAAGGAGAAGAAAAACGCTCTTCCACTCCGTAGGACTTCGTGTTGCTCCAGTTCATGAAGAAGCTCCCAGCACGTGGAGCGAAACGTCGGACGTCGTGCCAAACGTCATGCCGAGCGATGCGCGGCACGACTCTAATAATGTTCTTCATTTACCCACCGAGTCTCAAGACTCATTGTTTTGGAGGGTCCCGTAACGTTTGACCAATTCCACTTTGGAGTGTTTGCCTTGTGGGAGGAACCGGAGTTATCTGTGGAAATAACTCACGCAGACGAAGGAATGACCCTCAAAAGCTCTGCTTCGAGAATCCACGAATGGTAGCTCAACGAAGTGGCTTAATCATCTGGAAATGTACAGCAGCCAAATACTCTAAACGGACGTTGATTCTAAATGCGGAGGGGAAAAACGGGGAGACATGCAAGCTCAAAATATACAACTGTCAGGGTCGGTGTAGAACCCACGACTTCCTGTAGACCAGGCGAGGGATATAACATCTCCCCGCTTGAGTGGGTCTGCTCACACGTGCGCCGACCCACTCAGCAGCACCAGTGACCGCCACTTTGTGAACAAACGGTGTCTACAGCAAGGGGGCAGTGTCAAGCAACCCTCTTGAACTTTGCTGATCCAAGCCGTGACGCCGGCGGCGCCCAAGGGCGCCCAAACCACGTCGAATGTACGTAATTGGAATCAATTATAAAATTACAAAGGAAGAGATTAAATGCTGTATTACGTTTTTCACAGGTGTCTGAAATCATGTAATTTGTATGTTACCTGAAAAATGTAATAATTGCGGAAAATAATCCGCGTTTGTTCCTTGCGCAATATTCCTTGAGGACCCCGTACTCATTCTCTGCAATGTTGATGGTTTTTTTGTTGTTGTCTTTGTTTAGCTGTTGCTACACGCGCGCACCACAGACCTCCCTTGTAAAATAGCCGGGCAACTGGCGAAACGACATCATCCATCATGTAACAAAAACAAAAACCTAATGCAGATAAATCTGGAGTAAACCCACACCACGCCTGGCCTCCCAACCGCCGCACACGTTGCCACCGTTAAAGAACAACTTCCAGGGACGGCAATCTGATGGCGGCAGTGAAGTGGCGTGTTCTGCGAACAAGCAGCACACAATTGCATACGCAGTACAACAGGCCCCGTTCGGCAACAGCATTCTGGGGGTTTCCATTCAAACGACTTTTGTCGGCATAGCTGTCAAACTGCGGCGAGAGACAGTGGGACATTAATTACTATGCTCTTTGGGTCTCTCGGTTTAGTTGTTTAGTTTAGTTTCATTCATTTTGGTATAGCCCTGTGAGCCATTCGGCTCTTGAATCGGGTGCAACCGCAACAAACAAAAACACTAAAACACGAACAAGAAAAACATCTTAAAGTGACTATGTGACTGTGCAAACAGAAAATCCAGGAAAAAAAACATCAAAATATTCCTGAAATAGCACCGTACACCAACGCTGTGTGCAAAAAATCCCAGTGGGATGCAAGTCAAACAACAACAACCACAAGAAAACTTAGATTAAGGCCATTAGTCTAACTCCGTACTACAATAAACAAAAACATGGCCAAACCAAAAAACTTTTAGAAATCACTAAAAGTTATAATAATAATAATAATATTTCTCCTGCCTCAGCAGTTGGCCTGCTGTATTTTTTCACCTGAAGACGACTGCTCGTGTTGCGATCGGGAAAGTCGTGATTTAAAAAAAAAAAATTCTACCCACGTGACTTTACCGAAAGACCCAAAGAGTATGGATTCCTGGCAGTCACGAAAGATTTCAGTCATCAATTACGATAGGTCGCTTTGTCAAAATGACACGGTCCAAATTTGTAATTTACACGTACGAGCAACACATTTGCAACCGCCCCCCCTCCCCCCGCCGGAGTCAGACAAACGAGAAGATGCCACCCTTGCCTCCCCGCCTCCCCGTTTCACGACGTACTGTTATTGGGGTTGTCCCCGATGATGTGGTGGCGGCCGCTCCAGTACCACAGCAGCAGCGTGGCGTCCCGCGAGCCCGACACGATGTAGCAGTCGCCGCCGATGTAGGACTCGGAGCGCGCCAGGCACGTCACCACGTCCCAGTGCCCAAACACCACCTGCGTCAGCTTGCCTGCACGCAAGGCGCCACATGCTCACATGCTGACCTACTTCCTACTTGCTTCGTCAACGGTGATATTCTGCAGAACGTGCATCGGCACCGTACGCATGTATGTTGAGCTTCTTTCGCACCGTACACACGAGGCGTTTGCCACACATGAACCACAATACCTTAGCTGATCTCGTCAAGGAGCATAAACCATCACGCGAACTCCGGTCACTCTCTCTAGATTTGAAGCTTTCGTGACTGCAAGGATTCATACTCTTTGGGTTTTTTCGTTAAAGTCACGTAGGTACAATAAAATTTAAAATAAAAGAAAACAACTCAATTAAATCACGACGTTTCGGAGGCAACACAAGCTTCCGTCTTCAGGTGGAACAGTCACAGCAAGATAGCTGCATCACTTGATGCAGCTATCTTGCTGTGACTTGTTGCAGTGACTTTACCGTGACTTTACCGAAAAAAACAAAGAGTATCCGGTCATTCTCACTTACTAACTCTTCTTTGCTCCTTGTGGAGCATAAGGCCGCAACAAGCCCACGCCATGACGCACGGTTTTTTGCAGCTTTCTCTGCTTCACCCTAAGAGAGACCCATGGTCTTTAGTTGGTTTTGAAAATGTTTTATTGTTGCAGTTTCCATAACAACCAGGGGTTGTCCATTTTGTCTGCCCTCTACCCTTTGACCAGGCCGGCCATGGTTGGAGCTGCTGGGAGCCTCAGGCTCCTGCTGGCTTTTCTTTCTGTGTCATGGAGGCACAAAAAGCTTCACTTCCACGGCAAGGCGACAACCCATCCTCACAGCAGCGTTTTTTGGCGAGCCATCAAACAAAGACGGTCACTGCATTGGGTGCTTTCAGATGCGCTTCTGTCCAAGTCTGGAGCTGTGCACTTTAAAATCTTGATTGAAAACTTCTTTCCTGAGAACTGCTTTTGGTGTTTCGTTTTCTGCCCTTCCCCCATACCTCCGATGAACACAGTTGGCAACGTAAAGTGCGGAAGAAGTTCAACATACATATGTACATATACACTGATAACTGCTACGTCGCATGCGTGCGTGCGTGCGTGCGTGCCGGGCTTAATTGCGGCAAGCTTAGGTTTAGTACCCGAGTCCGTGGAGTAGACCCGGAAGCTCTTGTCCCAGAAGCCACAGGCGAGGATGTAGCGGTTGTCGGCCGTCACCACGAAGCAGTGGGCATTGATCTGGATGCTCTGGTCCACCAGGTCAGTGATCTGCCGCCGATGTAAGCCCGTGTTCGCCGCTGCAGAAACAAACCGACGTGGACACACCAGGTGACGATTTACGCTTAACAGTTCATATCTACGGGAACTTTTTTCGTCAGCTCGGGTTGAGCTCTTAATACTTTCGATGCTCGCATCTCCTTTGTACCCTTTGGTTCTTTCGGTAAAGTCACGTAGGTATAAAATAAAATAAATTAAATCACGACGTTTCGGGCGCAACACAAGCGTCCGTCATCAGGTGGGACAACCACAGCAAGAAGCAATTGCTGAAGTGGGCAAAAGGGCTGCCGTAACTTGTTACTTGTTACAGCAGCCCTTTAACTTGTTACTTGTTACAGCAGCCCTTTTGCCAACTTCAGCAATTGTTTATTGCTGTGGTTGCCCCACCTGATGACGGACGCTTGTGTTGCGCCCGAAACGTCGTGATTTAATTTATTTTATTTTATACCTACGTGATTTTACCGAAAGAACCAAAGAGTATGGATCCCTGCAGTCACGAAAGCTTCAAATCTAGATTGCCTTTGTAGCGTTCGCCTTTTGGCGTTGTTCTCTGGTCTAACGCTGGCGAGACAAGGCCATAGAAAGGAGGCTGTCTCTCTGGTGTAGGCCAATCAGTGTCAAAGACGAAACATATGTTATTATCAGAGCATCTTTGTTTGCATGCTGCGCCACAAGTGTGTGTGATTAATGCAGACGAGATGCCTTGCAATAGGTATCTATTTGACGTTTGAACATCTTAACACCTGATTTTTTGCCAGAAAGGATACATCCCATTTTTTTTTTGTTAACAGTTGATCTGGAGTGGCACAAATGGCACCACTGCGTTGATGGGAACCCAACGGCCACACATCAACTCCAGCTGGCCCTGCGTCACCCCAGCCACTTTATGTTGAAGTGTCGGTGGTAAATGCAGGAGCTAGATGGACATTTGTATCGCATAATCATGATGGATTGCTTGGGTAGGACTTCATCTAGCAGTAGATTGACCATGGATGATGATGATGATGGAGCTCCAAGTTGACAGCTCAGAGAAGTCAATGCTCTTCCGTGCACAACCGAGCATCGGCCAGTGCTGATCTCTCTTTTGTCAATCTTGAGCAAGTGATGTAAATGCCACGTTCATGCAGCAGGTACCAGGCTATCCACAACTGCTGACTTCACACAAAAGTGGCACTAATTTTCCTTCTACTCGGAGAGATCATCGGTTGAGTGCAGCTCCGACCATCATTGCAACTGTAATGATTCATCTGTTGTAATGACTTTGATAATTTATGACATTTTTCACATTATGGTGACAAGATTCAATTAAAGAATTACATTTGTTTTGTTTAACCACCTCGTTTGTATTGATTCTCACCTGTCTGCTTTGTGCAGCTTTCTTCACTCTAGGAGCCTAAATGTAACGCAAGCATATTATTTGCACAATTCGTAAATAATGCCGTGTTGCATGCATGTATTTGCATTTACGGTGAGCAGAAAAATCGATATAATCAATTGATTGATTTAATGTTGCATGCTTACTGGGAAGCCTAGTCAATAATGTTTGCTTCCCACGGTAGCTGGATCTCTGTGCCGAGCTAAAACGGTTAACCACTGTGGTCAAACCGCCTCTGAGCACTAATTGGCACTGAGGTGATGACGTTAGTATTCGTGGGTATGTCAACATTTGAATCTTAAAAGCATCATTAAGACAGGCAAAATCCAAGCATTGGAGACGAATTTACCTTAACCCCAAGTCCTATCAATCACGAGGCGTGTGAAAGCAGGAAATGTCCGATATAAAACACTTTGACAAGGTACAGGCAGCTTGAGCTAGTCTTGTGAACCAATAATTTAAAAGAATCCGGGTACAAACCGATCAAAGGGTCCATTTCTATGGGGAGATGGTGGGACTGCTCGATGGAGTAGCCTGGGGCTCCACGCAGACCTGACAATCAAAGGGCACGAGTGAGTTACAACACGACAGGCACGGCAAGTAACAGCAGGTTTCATGGCAGGTGACGATAAACGGCTGGAAGGCTCAGTGTCGTTACCATGCTCACAATTCACTTGCCTGTGTTCTGAACCATTCCCCGCATCGCGCGCTTTCGGATGCGCTTCTGCGTCCGTCTGGAATGCTCTTCCTTCCGATATTAAGGAAGCCACTGGAACTATGTACTTTTAAATCAAGATTGAAAACTAATTTCTTTAGAGATGCTTTTTGGGTTTCGTTTGTTGTCCTTCCCCCGATCCCTCTGATTAGCACGGTTGGCTACGTACGGTGCGAGAGAAGCTCAACATGCAGTACGTACATTCAATGCCGAATCCCATGTGCTTTACCTAAATCATAACCAAATAAATACTTATTAATCACTATTAAGCAACAACAAAAATTACAATCTGTGTTAAAAATGCAATTGTCTTCTCGCTCTAAAGAGAATAGCGCACTACTCATCTTTATTGGCAGCCCTGATCCAGTCTTAATAATATTGTTATTAATTTTTATAGAGAGTGTCATTTATGCAACTTCATCAGATAACGCTGCTTATTTCAGTAGTTTAAATACTACATTAGTATGGAAGGGGCCAGACTCACTGTAGAACACTCACTGTTAATTTGTAACGCTCAGGTAAGATTGTCATATGGAGTAGAGATAACATGGCAAGGGGAAAAAAATAAACGTTAAAAAGATCGTCCAAATCCAGTCAGGTGGGACAGCTGCATTTCACTCAAACTCACCAGCAGAAGGATGCAATTTAAAATCTTGTTCATGTATGGTTTGGCCCCATCATCCTTCTAGGGTTAGCAAGTCCAATTTCGTGGGAAATCAACAGCCATTGTCACATCGAGATAATAGACCTTGCAATGTGAAATGTCCACTGCTGGCTTAATGCTGCCAATGGAAATGAGCACTTGAGCAGGGAGACAATTTGACTTCAAACAACAACAACAAACAGTTACTCTTACTTTCTCTTTCTTTCACTATCCCCTGGCTGCCCCAATCTTTGCAATGCTGCCTCTTCGTTCCCTTTTCTTCACTTTCCGTAAAACCGAACCTTCAAATCATCTGCACGCTCGGTATCCTCACGGCGCAAGGCTATCTCGAAAGTGCTACGTTTCACTAGTCTGCAGTAATTTCACTGTGGTTGGGGGCGATTATTATTATTGTGTTTTCCCAAGTTGAATAATTTTGGGGCAATTCTCCACAACATGGCAGATTGGGAGTGTGACGACGGCACACACGGCCTCCTCGATTTCAATCAGCCTCACGGGATCTCGAACATTTACCGTGAAGCGAACTGTGCAGCGTCGATGGTTGACGAGGCTCCTGTAGTATTAACCATTTCTCCGCTCAGAGACATCTGCAGGTTGCAGGGTGGTGGGTGTCCCATTTACCGTCGAATCTCGGAATGCGCAAGCGGTTCAGCATTTTTGTTGTTTTGAGAGGCGTAGCGCCGCTGTTTTTAAAGACACTGTACTCACTGCGGAGAACCGTACCGACACGACCGCACTCTATGATAGCTGGCACGAAACTGTGCCAACACGCCCTCACCCCATGGCCTTGTGGGAGGCTCGGTACCTGTAAAGTTATTTAAACTCAAATTTCCTTCCGGTTCCGTTGCGATGACGTACGCGTACGTACACACGCGTCAAGCGGAAGATGATGCCGCCGCACCTCGGCCACGACTGCCCCCTTCCAGTGGCTGTCTCTCCGCCGCACCGCCCCCGCCCCTCCCCACCAACCTACCCACCCGCCGTCTCTTCCCTGCTGCCTTTCACGCCCCTCCTGCCAGGCCTTTACCGAGCGTGTTGTGCCAGCGGTTGATGGCGAAGACCCGGCTGCAGGTGACCGTGACGACGGCGGGCAGCGCGAGGTGCGAGAGCGTGTTGGCGGCGACGTGAGTGACGGGCGAGTTGGAGGGGAATTTCAGCACCATGATGACGTCCTGCTGCATCTGGTCCTTAAACATCAGCGGGCTCTGCGGGAGGAAACACTTTCAAATCAAAAAATAAAAGGCAAAAAGGTAAAAAAAAGAGGAAAAGACAGCGGGAGAGACAGAGAAGGCGCACGGGCGTTAGTTTGCGATCGCAAAGAGACAAGGGAGCCAGTTGAGAACAAAAGTGATGAGGTCAGATTTTCTTTTTTTTTTTAAACTGGATTCTCAGGAATGAGAAGGTAAAGGTGCAATGGATATGGTGAATTACACAGTATTGATATTACAGCATAGAAGAACTAACCTGATAAGTGCACATTTCATGCGATTAAACATAAAGCTGGCACGTGTCATAAATGAGACAATTTATATGACTTATCCAATTATACATTATCGCGACAATAGCCAGAATAAATTTGAAAAAATATAAAAACCTATTTAATTGTATCGTAATTTAACCATTGTGTATCCAGGTAAAACCACACTCAACCATTGTGTTGTTCCAGGTAAAACCACACTCAATTTCAAGACCCAGTTTAATAACGGCCATACATTTCGGATGTTTGGCCAATTGCACAAAAAAGGTTTCTTTACAAACGTGTGGAAGAAGCAACTGGGAGCATCCAGAAAACAACAGTTAACAATCGGTAACAGATAGTTCAGCAACCGAATCAATGCACTGCCATAAACTATCTTCTTTAAAGTCCATGAGGATGGGTATTTCACGTCACACGATGCTCTCTGTGCGATTTACCAACTCAGCTTCCAAAGGGCTGGATCAAGCGCATATGGTTACGGTTGGATGCCCATGGTTGTACGTAGATGCGCCCGGCTGTCCTTGACTGCGCACGACCGAACAGCATGCATGTGTGGATGTAAGTGGCTGGCTGTGCTTGCGTATCTGTGTTGGAGAGGGGACATTCGGGGGGATGTTCCCACCAGATGCATGGCAGAGCTGCGAGGCGAATGAGGTTCGATGAGCAGCTGCGATGACGTCTGCCCGAAGTTCCGGATCTGAGACTCTATGGCCTAAAACGGAGCAGAGATAAACGGTGTGAATCACTCCGCATTGCTCACCGCTGCTCAGAAATTGCCCACCAGCTATTGCTTGCGATAACACAATGTTTGGTCGAGAGCAAGTTTGCTATCAATTTACAGTATCGCCATGTGCAAGACTGCGTATGAATGCTGTCGAACGTACACGCTTGAAAGTATAAAGATACGGCGCACAGGTTATTGTTATTTTGGCCGGGTCGCGTCGTTGTGCGCATCGGACCCGCGTGTTACTGGGAGAGATGGGAGAGATGAGCAGTGCGTTATTAAGGCCACGTGCAAAAACCAGCCACCCCCCCCAAGGCAGCACGCAGGAAGGAGACACACATGCCGAAGTCCAGAGTCCACACACCAGCATCATGAGGGTTAGCAGGTTAGTACCACGGTGGGCGCATTCGGAAACTCATGAAATTTTGATTTCAAGTACTGTTTTGTGTACGTTGTTTTCATTTTTAGAATGAATGATTGGAAGCGTCATTCACCAAAAACGTGTATATTTTATGGGGCGCTAGGCAGCTCGCAAAGCCCAACCAAGACGGGAATTGTCCCTGCTGCTAAGAAAGTGACACGAAGTCTGGCAGCATCGCGTCTTCTGCACCTCGTTGCTGTGTTTTCGATAAATAGAGTGAAACGGTCGACCAAATCGAGTTATTGCACAGCAGGGTCCAGTCACAGTGTCCAGGACTCACTCAAGTCCCTCTGGATAAACATTTTAAAACATTTTGATAATCGTTCATAAAATGGATCTCACCCAAAAGAATGTACCAAGCTCCACATTTAGAAATAATATAATAAGAATAAAATTACTTGTGCAGTGTCCATGAAGAGAAAACACTGATTTCCACAAATGGTAATTAATTTGAGGGAAAGAGGTCAGTGTCTCTCTGTTCCAACGAGCATCAAGTGGGCTTAATCTCAGTTGGAGGCCCTGAGCCAGTGATGGAAATTCAATATTTCCATGACGGGGGCCACCTTTGATACATGTAAAGCATAGATAAGATGGGATATCAGTGTGTTCCAATATAAACAAAGACTAAATTAAGGGCACCAAGGTGGCGAGAATGTTAACGACCTCGCCTGGTATACAGGAGGTCGTGGGTTCGATGCCGACCCTGACGCCTGCTGTATATTTGTAGTTTGCGTGTCTCTCTCCCCGTGACCGCGCGAATTTTCTGCGGGTCCTCTGGTCTTTCCCTCCACGTTTAGAATCATGCGTTTTGAGTATTTTTGGCTGCTATAAATTTCCACGTGATGAGCCACTTGGTTGAGCTATCATTTGTGGCCAGGTCGCTTCTGAAAACGAGCTACATAGCTCAGTGGGGCCTTACCTGGTAAAACATAAAATAGTTTATAGTTTAATTTTAATAATTCCCTCTTGGGCACTCAAATCTAATTATATATACACGTACAGAGAGAGTATTAATGCCACTGGCATGGGAGCACTTGCAAATTCCTTGGTTTCCGATAACGCCCACTGCAGATGGAGTGCAACCGCTCAGAATCCAGTAGCCGTGTTAGGTGGATTATAGCTGGGCTTCTCCTGCAGTCGACTAGGCCACACCGGCACTCGCAGAGTGTTGCACCTCACAGGGTGTGTACCTCACAAAACTCAGCAGTAGGGAGGAACGTGTAAGAATCTCTAACAAAATACGCGTCGGGGATCTTGGGGAGAGAAGAAACAGTGGTGACATTAAACACAAACGCGCGCGCACAAGACCTGCCCGCAAAACCTGTTCCACATATTACAGCGCCTCTGCCACCAGCCAATTTTAAACACTTGTCTACAGGGTAATTAACGGGTGCACTACTTCTGTTTTTTTTTATTAATGATGCCATTAATTGTTACCGTAGTTGATTAACGTTTACAGAGTCGTTGACAATTGTGCTTTTTTCGGCTGATGTTTTGGGGCAAGACAAAATATAAAAATGTTGGTTAAATTGAAACAATTTAGGTCAAGCAACCGAGGGCATGTTTTGCCTGTTTTGCAAAGATGCAATTCTGGTCTTTAATGCAGACATTGAAACACTTTAATGACAGTTGGCAGCCCTTTGACAACAGCCAGTACCGAGGTCTCTATCTCAAGTGTTTTTTGACACACGTGTATCCCATCGTAAATGTAGGCTATTTAGATTTCTAGCTGTGGTTGTCTCACCTGATGAAGAGTGCTTGTGTTGCGATCAAAACGTCGTGATTTGTTTGATTTTATTTTATTTCTACCGACGTTACTTTACCGAAAGAACCAAAGAGTCTAGGCCATTTGACCAAATTCCTTTTGGTGAAGTCACACCAAACCGCGATGCCTTCACTACAGGCTATGTGGTCACGAACAACACAAAATGCGGTCACTTCATTTTGGGAAACTGTCCGCGTGTCTGCACGCTCAGCGCTCACTTCCCCGCCACTACCTGCCCGTACAACGCCACTCCTTGTTTATTTGTTTTACCCTTTATTTTTTTTCTCCCCCCTCTGTCGTTCATCCGTTGCGGCGTTTAACTTTAATCTGCACAGTAAGGCACACTCTGCGAAGCTCCCTCTTTTGAGATCTCTGTTTAACATCGCACCACCGCTGCGCATGACCGCACACGTGATTAGCAGCTGGAAGGGAGCGCGGTTTAGTCGTGACCGCAATTCCTTTGCTCTGTCCATCATACGCGAAGTTTGAGATTCTGGGCTTGCCCACAGCTGTACCTGTCTGCTGCTAACCTGTACCATGGGGGAAGCCTGATTGGTTTAATCAGTTCGGGTCAGCTCTGAAAGGCAGAAACCCTCGGCATGTGCTGTGCTCTACTCACAGATTCTCCCCACCAACCGCAGAATTCTGTGAAAGAATTCGGAGGCACCTGTCACAGCTAAACATTTTTCAATCTTGTCCCCAGTTACCCTCTGTCAAAATGAATGTGGAAATTAAATATTAATTCAAGATCCCTGAACAGACTCTTTCCCTGTTGTACTTGACCAGACAATTAGGAGCTCCTACAGTCAGCTGGCATTCCCTCTTGGCCAAAATGTTAAATATAGATTATTCGTGAGCAAATTATAATTTTCTTTGGTATAAATTGAACAGAATGCAATGTCAGTGCATGCTTTTCCTCACCAACTGAACCGTATCACCCTTTCCCATTAGCTTCCATTAAGGTGATTGCATTTGGTCCTTGATTCCACGTGTATGGGTAGCAATGGTACAAATATTCAAAGCCCAGCTGGCAGTGAAGAAGGGGATACTTGGATGACAGGGGTTTGGAATGCCTTACTTCCCTTGAGACTATTGTTTGAATACAAGAACTAATCAAAGAGAAGCCCACCACATTCTTGATTAATGTTGCCTGACCACAAACGAAAACATATCACAGACCAACATTTTTGGCAATGACTTCTTATAATCTGCAAAAGTGCTAATGCCTGAAAAATTAGCCCATTAAATGGTACATTTTTTTCTGTTAGAAGGCAATTGTGAGTTTTTAGCCCTACATTATATTTCTTTGCTGTTCTAATGAAGGTACATATAGGGCACTGGTGCAGCCACATCAGCCTTGTACCTGTGTGAGTGTTAAATCATTTCAATCTAAGCTAATCATGCTTTAATTAAGCTCACCCGCAGAGACCATACAGCAAGGAATTGCTTTACATTAAAGGGTTGGGTTCATCTCAGCCAGATATGGTGGCCACATTTTTACATTCGCCATTCGTAAACGGTCTCCAGTCTGCCAAAAAGTAGCAGAATGACGGCAAAAAAACAGCCAGACGAATCTGCCCCCACCCCCCCCCCCCCGTGACCATTGCCAGGTCTGGACGTCCCTGGACTTGAGCTCCAGGGACGTCACCGGCGTGCTTGTTTGTGCGCGTGTTGTGGCGGTACCTCGCGGTTTAGCGAGTCGGTGATGGCGTCGAGGCTCACGGCGCCCTCGTACGTCAGGTAGTAGAAGACGTTGAGGGCTCGCACGGCCTCAGGCCCACGCTGCTTGTAGCCGAACACCAGGTCGATCCACTGGTGCAGCTGGCACGACACGAACTCGCTCTCTAGCGCCTGCGGGCAAAAGCAGGGCCACGCGGGGTCAAGGTGGCGAGATGTTAGCTACCTCGCCTGGTATACGGGAAGTCATGGGTTCGATCCCGACGCCTGCTGTATATTTGGAGTTTGCGTGTTCTGCCCGTGGCCGCGTGGATTTTTCTCCGGGTCCTCCGGTTTTTCCCTCCACATTTAGAATCATGTGTTTAGAGTATTTGGCTGCTATAAATTTCCACAAGATGAGCCATTTCGATGAGCTATCATTTCTGAAAAAGAGCTGTATAGCTCAGTGGGCCTTACCTGGTAAGGCCCACTGAGCCTGGCGATAAAATGGACGCAGAGAACTCACACACAGGAAAGGGACTCACAACATGAGATCAATGATGGACAAGGCAGAATGTTTTAATTGATGTACTATGCATTTACCTTTCAAGTCTAAGTCCAGGTATCTGCCAACCGAGATGAGCAATAAATCAGGACTCAACTCAATGGCAGCTCGGAGGATGTGGCAGATATTGAACATTTCTTTCGACATTGATTCGGCTATAAAGCTCTCATTCAAGAGCGACTTTTGACCGTCAGACAATATGGAGAGAAGCCAGTTACTCAATAGGGCAGGTCCTGTTGACTTCCATCGAGCAGCACATATTTTATTGACCATGAAGTTACGTAGGGCTGAGTCAACTAGAAATCAGGAGAGGTGCCACGTGGTGGCTAATGCCCTCGTATGGAGCATTTGGATAAAGTAGGCAAGTGTGGTAGACACTTGACAAGGCCTGATGGCAAGGGGTTATCAAATTGCATTGGTATCTTACAAATGTATATTCAATTTGATTGTTATTTTATTGCAACAAAATTAGTCAGTTACGAGGCAAATTAACTTAGACCCCATGCTGTAGTTCTTATTAATACGATGTTTAAACACGACTATGGTCATTCTCAATTAACGAGTCGGTTATGCATTCTGAGCATCATAATTTCTATCCTCTATGCATATCATGCTTGGTGGCCAGTGGTCAAAGTGCTTATTTTACATTGTCAAGGTTGCTCGTGCAAACCTTGTTCTGAAGACAACTCTTCCCACAACGTCTTTTGGGGTCAAGAAAATGTTTTTCTTTGTGGTGTACAGGATGACTGCTGGGGGTGCGATATTCCCTTTTTGGGGATGCGAGACATGGACGGATTTTTACGGAAGGCAAATCATCGAAGCACGAATTAAGCTCGAGCACGCAAGTACACCTACGCGTCATCAAACCTACGTATTTATTATTAACATTACACATTCTTCACGACTGAGAACTCAAGGGCTGCAAGGCTGCAGTAAACGTTAAGAACCACTGCTCTACACTGACCCCTGCCACAGGAACGTAACGCCTCGACAAACGACTCGAAGAGATGAGAGCCGCCCTCGTTGCCGATTTGAAATAAATGTTACTTTTACACCGAGGATTTGGCGCCCCAGGGGCGAGACGTTATCTCCCTCGTGGGTACGACCCCAACACGAACGGTGCCCCGCTCTCCACCGTGGTCGCGTGGATTTCTCTCCGGGTGCCTCCGGGTTTTGCCCTCCGCATTTAGAAACGTGCATTTGGTTGATTTGGCTGCTATAAATTGCCACACGTGACGATGGAATACGCCACTCCGATGAGCTACCACGTGTGGCCAGGTCACCTCTGAAAGAGAGCTATATAGCTCAGTGGGCTTTACCTGGTAAATAAAAACACACTTTAGTTCATCCCATCAAATGTAGATTTGTAGAGCACCTTCACACAAGCCGCTTGACGTAACTTACAGGACGGTGACAGAATAACAGCATGATTTAGATAGCAGGGGTGTAAAATGATTGAGGAAGGAGTGACAGGGATCGAGGGGTACTTTGGGATCACGAAAGGGTAGGGGAGGGACAGGAAGGAGTGGAGGGTGGGGGGAGGGAAGACGAAGCCAAATGGGTAACAGAAAAGAGGTATTATGTTGAACTTCTTTCGCACCGTACGTAGCCAAGCGTGTTAATCAGAGCAGAAGAATGGAAGGAGGTTAAGGGGGAGGAGGAATGGAAGACAGAAGGCCGCGAAGGCCCAGAGGTCAAGGGCACCCACCATGCGGTTGATGCGGACGAAGTCCTCTGGCGTTTTGGCCCAGGGTGGAAGCAGCACATCGCTCACCGGGGTGCCGTCCGACAGCACGCCCAGCGTGTAGCCATTGCTGTTCACAAACATCTCGGGCAGGTAGTAGAACTCGGGGATCAGCTCCTGGGACACCAAACACAAAGATCCCCCCATGTAGCCTTTAACAGACTGTTGGGGCAAGTGCTGTTGGCGAGCACCTGGGACACCGCCCACACACGCGCGCAGCAGCAGGGAACTTGGACCACGGTCTTTACGTTCACCTATTTTAACACGCGTCAAAATAAATAGCCATGTTCGATCCACTGCTGGATGAAGTCCTCCCCAGGCTGTAGCCATTTCTGATGGTCCTGCGATGTAACAATCCACCGACAGTGAGGGGAAAAAGTATTTGATCCCCAGCTGATTTTGTACGTTTGCCCACTGACAAAGAAATGATCAGTCTATAATTTTAATGGTAGGTTTATTTGAACAGTGAGAGACAGAATAACAACAAGAAAATCCAGAAAAACGCATGTCAAAAATGTTATAAATTAATTTGCATTTTAATGAGGGAAATAAGTATTTGACCCCCTCTCAATCAGAAAGATTTCTGGCTCCCAGGTGTCTTTTATACAGGTAACGAGCTGAGATTAGGTGCACACTCTTAAAGGGAGTGCTCCTAATCTCAGCTTGTTACCTATATAAAAGACACCTGTCCACAGAAGCAATCAATCAATCATATTCCAAACTTTCCACCATGGCCAAGACCAAAGAGCTCTCCAAGGATGTCAGGGACAAGATTGTAGACCTACACAAGGCTGGAATGGGCTACAAGACCATTGCCAAGCAGCTTGGTGAGAAGGTGACAACAGTTGGTGTGATTATTCGCAAATGGAACACAAAAGAACTGTCAATCTCCCTCAGCCTGAGGCTCCATGCAAGATCTCACCTCGTGGAGTTGCAATGATCATGAGAACGGTGAGGAATCAGCCCAGAACTACACGGGAAGATCTTGTCAATGATATCAAGGCAGCTGGGACCATAGTCACCAAGAAAACAATTGGTAACACACTACGCCGTGAAGGACTGAAATCTTGCAGTGCCCGCAAGGTCCCCCTGCTCAAGAAAGCACGTAAACATGCCTGTCTGAAGTTTGCCAATGAACATCTGAATGATTCAGAGGACAACTGGGTGAAAGTGTTGTGGTCAGATGAGACCAAAATGGAGCTCTTTGGCATCAACTCAACTCGCCGTGTTTGGAGGAGGAGGAATGTTGCCTATGACCCCAAGAACACCATCCCCACCGTCAAACATGGAGGTGGAAACATGCTTTGGGGGTGTTTTCTGCTAAGGGGACAGGACAACTTCACCGCATCAAAGGGACGATGGACGGGGCCATGTACCGTCAAATTTTGGGTGAGAACCTCCTTCCCTCAGCCAGGGCATTGAAAATGGGTCGTGGATGGGTATTCCAGCATGACAATGACCCAAAACACACGGCCAAGGCAACAAAGGAGTGGCTCAAGAAGAAGCACATTAAGGTCCTGGAGTGGCCTAGTCAGTCTCCAGACCTTAATCCCATAGACAATCTGTAGAGGGAGCTGAAGGTTCGAGTTGCCAAACGTCAGCCTCGAAACCTTAATGACTTGGAGAAGATCTGCAAAGCGGAGTGGGACAAAATCCCTCCTGAGATGTGTGCAAACCTGGTGGCCAACTACAAGAAACGTCTGACCTCTGTGATTGCCAACAAGGGTTTTGCCACCAAGTACTAAGTCATGTTTTGCAGAGGGGCCAAATACTTATTTCCCTCATTAAAATGCAAATCAATTTATAAAATTTTTGACATGCGTTTTTTCTGGATTTTTTGTTGTTGTTATTCTGTCTCTCACTGTTCAAATAAACCTACCATTAAAATTATAGACTGATCATTTCTTTGTCAGTGGGCAAACGTACAAAATCAGCAGGGGATCAAATACTTTTTTCCCTCACTGTATCACCTGTACACGAGTTGATTTCATCACTCCGTTTTCGTGATGGGTGGCCTCGTGACAGGCGGGTTTCCTCCTTTGGCTGTCGCTCCATCATTATTTTCTGCTGCCAGCCATATAGTGACATGTCCTGCCCAGTTTATATACTTGTATCAGCAATGGAAAGTATACTCTTTGGTTCTATTGGGTAAAGTCACGTAGGTAAAAAATAAAATAACAAAAATCACGACGTTTCGGCCACAACACAAGCGGCCTTCATCAGGTGAAGGGACGAGACTGTCTGGAGGACAGCGCTGGAGTGAAAAAAGCCACGCTCAGATCACGACCTTTAAGCTGTGTGAGAAGAAACAAAGCGCCTTGACAAAGGAATTAGCATATAATTTGGCATTGAAATGGATAAGTTAAAGTATACACATCCGCACTTTAACTTAGCTAGTTCAATGCAAAATTCAATGCTAATTCCTTTGTCAAGGGGTGCCTTTGCGGATGTGTATGCTTTAACTTTAACACAGCCATTTCTGTGACCAGTCACAAGCTAATCACTCAGCCATTTCATATAGCTTGGTGAGACCTTCATCCAGAAGTGGATTGAGAGAGGACTATAATTTATTAACAATTTTCAGTAACTTCTTCCAAGAAATATTCTATGGGTGTTTCGGTAAAGCCACGTAGATAGAATTTTTTTTTTAAAAATATCACGACGTTTCGATCTCAACGCAAGCAATCATCTTCTTATAAGAACACAGTGAAGACGATGATTTTATTTAGCCTCACGATTCGATTAAGCCTCACCCACGCTATACAGTTTGGTAAAGATGTTCTTTACTACCCTCTAGTGGGGAATCTACACTCAGCAAATATTGTTGCTGCTGCTGCACCACTGCTAGAGGATACGTTTTAAAAATGCTCTCTGCACCATACATTTCACAACAATGTAACGAGGAAAGCCAACCTATTTGTCAATAACATTGTGCCTTTAAAAAGTAGTTGTATGTATGTTGAACTTCTTTTGCGTCGTACGTAGCCAACCATGCTGATCGGAGGTGCAGTGGAAGGACAGCAAACTAAACACAAAAATCAGTTATAAAAAATGAGTTTTCATTCTAGATTTTAAAAAATAATAGGTGACGTTCCGGGCAACCGCCCTTCCTCACAGCACAACGCCTCTCTATGTGAAATTGTGGACAACTATACACATTGAAGAACACAATGACCTACTTGTAAAAAAAAGCGTCATGAGATCTTTAACACGCGTAAACAAATAACCGAACACTTATTTAAAAATATTTCTACACAGAGTGTATTGTTTGGCCAAAAAAACCTGTAAAATATATTTGAATTATGTTTCACGATCATACTGGTGTGTAAGATCAAATTCATTTTACACCTGTGACTTCGAAACCTCTGTATTCAATATCGCAACGCAGCGTTTCTACATTGAGGCAGTTCCAAACCAAAACCTTCGTTGAAAAATTCAGCGTTGTACGACAACAACCTTCAATTTGGTCTTCATGTGTGCGTGTTGAACTTCTTTCGCAGCGTACGTTGCCCAACAGTGCTAATCGGAGGTGCAATAGGTTTAATCGTGAGCTGTTATTACGTAAAGGCCTCCCATCAGTGACGTAGCGTGGTTGGCATGGGCCCTGGTGCAAGGAATGAAATGAGAGACACGTGCGAAATGTATCCCCCATCTGAGGCCTGGCACCTAGGCCCCTGAAGGGCCATGGACCCCTGTGCAGTTGCACCGCCTCCATTGCCAGTTCCGTCACGCATCTCACCAGGCCCATTGCCTTGCTCTGAACGACTAAATTCTTTCGCTCGTGCAGTCGGCTCGTACCTTGACGTCGGAGGTGTCTCTCTGGCAGTTCTGCCAGGCACGGATGATGGAGGAGAACGTGCGGTCGGAGTGGTCGAACTTTCCTCCTTGCATGTTGAGAAAGAAGGTGGTGAAGGGCTCCTGGAGAACAGGTCACAGCGGAGGCTGAGCACTGTGCCATGAGCACTGGCACCAGGTCAGCAGCACCCCCCACAGCTGATGCAGTTTGCTCACTTCGTTATCGTTGTTGTTGATGCTACTGCTATTCACACGAGCAAAAGATTGGTACAATTGTATCACTTTTTTTGCGTGTGTCATTTTTGGTAATCCAGGTCACTCTTGGAGTCTGACTATAGGTGGGAAGCTGACACCTTGCCGATATTAACTATGTTAGCCTATTTGTATTTTTTATTTTTAAATTATATCTTAAAGCTATTTTATATTCGATATTTATTAAATTTTATATACTTCAGCCCCTTGGTGTCAGTTAGACTTTTAACCCTTATTATTATAGTAAGACTTGTTTAAAACTTATTTAAGATTTTAGATTCCTATATGTTGAATGTATGCACCCTCCTGCCAAAGTAAATTCCGTGTCGGTGTGAACTTTCATAGAGAATAAAACCCTTTCTGATTCTGATTCTGAAATGAGACTCATATCCTGTCGCTTGAGTTCTCACCCTGGTTAAACAAATAAACTTAAACTTGGACTGGACTGGTTCAAGTACAATCAGTTAAAGCATTCGTGACTGCAGGAATTCATATTCTTTGGGTCTTTCCAGTAAAGTCACGTAGATAGGTTCAAAGAAAATAACAAAAAAACGACGACGTTTCGATCGCAACACAAGCGTTCGCTATCAGGAAGATGGGCAGCGGAAGCAGATACTACAGAGCTACCTCCAGAGATGCATTAAAATGACCCCTGATTCTCAGAGTAGCAGGCAGCACATTGACACCTCCTCTGCCACCAAGAGTACTGTTCATCAAACCCACGTTTTTTAAATGATCAGAGATGGATTTTGTCCACATTAAGTGCGCAACTAAAATTTACGCGATGCTTTTTTGTGCAGTCATTTGGTGAGCATGCTGAGACCATCAACTCACTAAACTTGAGAAGGCGGTTTAATCACTGGCAGCTGTATGTGCATGTTGAACACCGCATGTAGCCAACCGTGCTCATCGGAGGTGTGGCTGGATTAAAAAACCAGTAAAGTCAGAGATGCAACCTCTGCACTCTTACTTAACAACATACTGCACTGCGTAGTCAGGGTTAGTTCAGCACTGGGGGGGGGGCAGCTAATACAAAAAGGGGAAGAGGGATACGAGACAAACACAGTGGAAGACATGGGGAGAGAATGACACACAGACGGGCAGAGAGGAGCCACAGAGAGAAACGAGACACCAAGGCAAAGATAAGCGAGAGACAGACATACGTGGTCAGAAACTGAGAGAGATACGGAGATAAACGTGCAGGGAGACGCAGACACAGGCAGCTGGGGAGAGACAGACACAGAGGATTCCCCGATGCCTGCACACGCGTCACCGCTGCGTACGGCGTACAGGCTGGCCGGCGACAAACGCTCAAGGCGGGCGTGAGAGAGCGGCCGGGAGGCGCACGTGGAGGGAACGTACGATCCTCAGCAGCCAGGTGAGCGTGAAGCCGGCCGTGGAGTAGTGCGAGCCGTAGTGGAAGGGCGGCACCTGCTCGTCATCCCAGCTCTCGTAGCGCTCCACGAAAAAAGCGGCACGCTTTGGGTTCAGGGCTCCCACCGGCTGCAGCCGAAGAGAGAGAGAATGAGAGAGAGCAGCAACGGGCGGATTGGAGCACCGTGAGGTCACAAGGGGGACAAGCTGGCCCTCAAAAGGTAGAATAAAATACGTAAATAACCGCCCACAAGCATGGCTTCACCTCACTGAAGACACCACGTGTTCAGCGTTTGCCACGATCACTCATAACATTATGCCACCTGTAGTCATATCAAGTCAAAGAAAAGGGGTGTCTCCCAGCTCGAACAAACACGTCGACCCTAGAAGAGCATGTCTTATTTTACATACCCATGGTGGAAGCACGTTTCGATACAAAAAAAAAAACCTCTCGACTTCCCACAAGAGTGGCGCTAATGTTAATGAACTCAGAAGAACGGTGGGCTGAGTTGACTTGTGGCCGAGATTTGTATTTGCAACCTCCCCCACTGCGAGCCAACGGAGCCACAGCCGGCCGTGAATCCTCTGGGCACGCATTGTGGGGGCAGCCGAAGGCTACACGCTGCCAGCATGGATGGAGTCAGGACCTGTACTCAGTACGTTGAGCACAGCGGGACCTGCCTCTGTGATGTGAAAGTGCAAAGCATTACATTATAAAAAATAGGTTTTACCCTTCCTGCCAATAAAACACCAAATAGATACTTTTAGCAAGGAATCAAGTCTACATTATCCACGCGGACTTCTGGTGAACATGCAAACAAACATGCTCTGATAATATACGCATTGTCTGTGACACTGATTGGCCAACACCAGAAAAAGCCTCCTTTATGGGCAATTTTTTTGATACTTTGATACTAGCAAAAAAAATGTCCCATGAAACATTTCATTATAGTAGTCTGCACATTAATTGATTTTCTTTCCTCTTTTGAGGCTGTTACTTATTCTGAGGTCCAATGTCAAACACTCACAACCTGTGCTAAACCTTGGAGGCTGCAAATGAGACTGCCACTCTCTGAGAAGGCACATTTCTCTGCCACATCAATACAAATGTCTCGTGAAGAAATGAGTAGCCTGGGTCACTGATGTCTTGACTACATGACCATCGCTGCAAACTACGATGGTTACATGGTCAATATTCAAGCGCTCACTTTCCTGAATAAAATGTCACCCGGGTTTATAGAACACGGCGCCTGGAAGCAGCGCTGATTCTTTGCGCTTCACTTCGCGATATATGTGCCGTAACTCACACTCAATTATTAATCTGCCTCACATTTCTTGTACACGGTGACAAAATCTATTCTTAGTGCTGTGAGGTACTCCTATGTTCTACATACAAGTGAATAGCAAATCTAAAAGGCCCTGCGTGGATAACACGCGTATACACACAAGACTTAACTCTTCAACTAGGCTCAACATTCCACGGTGGAACATGGGGAAAACTGGCACATGCCCCATTCATCATCTTGTTATCTGCTCTAAACGTACAGACGGAGTAGACATGTGCGGAGTTGAGGGGTCTGCTGCCTTATCATAAGAGGACTATGAAGCAAACACTTTTGAGATTACGGATTGAAGCCGCGGATTAACAGCCCATGTTTACAAATTATGTCCTTTATTGTCTGGAAAAACATTCCCGAGCCTTAAGGTTATTTTCAAGAGGGTCCCCTCATGGATATGTTTCTGTCAGTGAGTGCAGCAATAAATTGGAGCAGCAAACACTACGATGTTAAAGTTGTGGTGTACAGTAGTTCATTTGGCCATATCTGACTTATCAGCATTTGATTTGATAAATAAATTAATCACACCAACTGCTTAGAATATCAGTTTGTGCCAGGGGAAACATTTTTTAACTGTCTGACAAGCAGCCAAATGATATCTGCTTCCAGAGTAGCCTTCTGAGCACTGTAGTAATAGTAATATTTTGACTGCTTGTTTTGTGGTTATTGCAAACATGATCCCTTGTATAATAAAGGTGCCAGTTTTGGTGCCAGATAAAATGGGTAAAAACCTATTACTATATCTTGCTACTGGCAAAGGAGGTCTCATAATGCAACTGTAGTAATACTCTGATGACTGAAGGTCTGACTTAATAAACTCCTGAAAAAAACTTTTTTTTTTCAAACAACGGTTTTATTCACAACAGGCGCGGCTGAGACGCGTGGCGCCTGAGACACGTGGCACCTGCCTCTTGGGCGAGGCGATTTGAGAGTTTAGGGACCGCGGCGTTTTTGACCTACACACAAATATATATAAATAATAAGGCGTCCATACAAAATGTTCATTGCTTTAAAGCAGCGAATTAATGGATTCATCGATGCCGATTTCGATACAGGCATGCATTGTCACCGGATCTGAGTACGTGTGCAAAATTTGGAATTGATTGGACAACAGGAAGTAAACTAACTTTTGATTACAAGATTTGACCACGACACAGGAATCAAGTTAAGTAAAACCGTTGAATGAACATAGATGTTTGGACATTTGACTGTGATTATAATCAATGAAAAATCAACATCTAAAAACGGTGCTTCCAAACTTAACCACTTTTCATTCCAATGACGTAAGTGTAAGTGATGAGTTTTTTTTCAGATTCAGCCTTCGGAAAATAAAATATCCGACCTGAAGACGTGCCGAGGCTCCCACAAGGCCATGCGGGAGGGCGCGTGGTAAAGTTTGGCGCCAGCTGTTATACTAATGCAGTTGTGTCACTACAGCTATGTGCGGTGAATACAATGTCTTTAAAAACAACGGCGCTTTGCCTCTCTAAATGAAATTAACGCTAACCGCTTGCGCGTTCCGAGATTCATCGATGAATGGGACACCCACTCTGCAACGTGCAGACATCTCCGAATGGGAAAGGGTTAAATATAGGGATGGGTATAAGTTACGAGGACTACATGGCTCTGATTGGGCAAGGGCCAAGTAAAACCTGTAGAGAGGCCGAACTGCCCCATCTCAGCCGGCGGAGGTGCTGGACTCAAGGCTCTTTGAGGATTGAATGTACCACGAGGTGGAATGTACCTTAGAGAGGTCACGGAAGTTGCTGGGCAGTGTGAGGTCCAGCTCCTCGGACTCGTAGTTGGTTATGACCCAGGGGAAGACTGGGTATTGGTTGAGGTCATTGTACGTACGGCCTGTGAAGAGAAAAAACATGCAGTTAGTGGCTTATGGGATGTGTAAAAGTAATTTTATATTATTATGTGGCACCACAGATATGAGACGGACGTGTATTGCTGATGAAAAGGTTTAGTAGGATGAAGGCTCACCGGCAATGGTGTTGAGAAATATGAGGTACTCAAAGTTTGAGATTTCTCTCCTTTGCCAACGCTGAGTCATGTTGGACGACTTGAAGAGCTGCCTGGGGCTAGCAAGCGAGATCCTCCTGCCAGTGAGACATGACAGAGTAAAAACAATCATCAGCGTCACCAGGACACCACCTGCACAAGGCAATAAAACACAATTACAGAACAATTTCCTTCCAAAATGATTAACATGAAAATGATCTCCCTGTTCAAAAATGGTGCTCAACTCCAATGGCAGCCCTGAGCCAATGATGAAAATGTTACGTTCCTATGGCAACGGTGCACCTATCCATTCAGCAACTTTTTATTAAAAAACAGTGGCAATATATGGACAAATTGACAGTGTAGCATAACACACCAGTCCTCATAAAACAGTCTAAAATCTAAATTTGAATCAGCAAATCTGTTGATCGGTCTTTCATTGACCCTGTTGCCCATTATGACACGATTCCAAGGTTTATTCAGTCTACAGAGACTTGATAAAAAGGTCAATATTGACCGTTGATTTGTGTCTGTTGAATTAAGGAACCGTCCGACCAAGTCTTGGGCACGAGGAGTGAAATCTGCCTTTGAAACGCGGAGCAGCCAGCCGTCATCAGGCTGGGTGCTGCTCTACGGCAACAGACCGTGAAGCTTCGTGTTCAGCTGCTCATAAACATTCGTCTTGCGACTGCCTCGAAGTCGCAGGAACTGATTATGACGCACCATCCTGCAAGATGTTCTAACTGGGGTTGTGAATCGCGGGAAAATAAGTAATTATGGTGAAAAATTCGATTTTTCTATACCGCGCGCCGGTCTACCGCCAATACTTTCGCATGACAAGGCAATATATAGTGGTACAGTGGTTACCGTACTGCATTTGGCTAAAAAGATACGTGCAAAACGCTCAATTGGGATTACACATTGCAATGTCGACCCCTAAAGTGAAAGCTTGGCAGGAATCTCCTAAAAAAAAGAAGAGTCATAAGACTGAGTGAGGCTTTCCAAGGTAATCAAGCATCCTAATAATCACAATCGAGATAACTGCGCACAAACTCTCATTTGTACCTCTTGCGAGCTTCCCCTGACCACCACGATTGTGCTCCGACGTGTCGGTCACTATTTTATTTTTTATTTTAACCAGGGAAAGCCCCACGAAGCTGAGTACCTCTTTTTCAAAAGTCACCTGGCCACAAATTATAGCCCAACGAAGTGGTGAATCGCGTGAAAAATGCATCGCAGACTTATTTACTCGAGACGCATGTTGCTAAATGTGGCGGGGAAAACCGGAGGAGACGGCGAAACATCCACGCGGCAACAGGGAGAACACGCAAACACCAAATATACAGGCGTCAGAGTCAGGATCGAACCCACAAACTCCTGGAAACCAAAATATATATTTTAGAAAAAAATATTTGGTTAACCAAGCCTAAAATTAACCATGGTGTGCAGACATCATTACGGGTGTCTGAGCATGATGCTGGTCAACACCACCTCCTTTTTGTATCTTCCCAGCCTTAACAGGCAACTCGCTCATAGCAAATGTCTAATACGTTTGCACGTGTGACACATTGGTGCCTCAATGGATGTCTGCATGTGGCCACAAAGTTCACCTAGCCTGACATGAGGATCATGGTCGTGTCATCGTCCCTGACTCGGTGGCTGCTGTCGTTATAGCATGCGTGCGCATTTTCGTTGGTGTGTGCGATCCTGTGAGTGTGAGTATATTTGATTGATCATGTAGCGTATATCTCTGGGGCTTACCTGGCTTGAGGAAGGCCATAGCTGGTACCCACTCCAACACGTGGCAGGCTGTACACCACCTTTTTGACCGTTGCGTGGTCTGGGAAGTTGAACATCACCGAGGCTGGAAATGAGACGATGCAATAAGTTAATACAATTTAAATTTGTAATTCAATATAAAGCATTAATAAAGCAAACTTTTAAAAAAATCAATAAAAATCTAAATTGTCATTTGCAAAACACAATTTTAAAAAAATTGTGCAATGCAATGCACAATTTAGATTTTTATTGATAAAAAAAAATGATTTAGTAGTTTTTTTACAGTTGCAAATACACTCCATAGAATCTCAATTTGACCTCAGCTAGCAAATGCATAATGTGAACAGCAGCTCAGTTTGTTCAATATTTAAAGATCCTCATAATGAGCACTCTTCAAACAACAATGGATGTGCGTGTGTACATTTGTGTTTGCGTGTCTGTGCGTGTGCACTTCAACGTGTATGCACACATACTTGTGTGTATACGTGCGTGATGGTGTGCACACTTGTAAAAAAATACACATATATGTGTGTGTGCTCTCAAAGTACATCGAGCCTGACACAAGCGCTATGGTGACGTGAAACCACCACTTAGTGGCGAATGGCGGCTATTGTTGCTGTTGTTGTTGCATGGAAATGTGCCGTTCTGACCTTTATAGGTGCCCACTCTCGGCACTTGCCCCAACAGCCTGCGTAGCCTTTATGAAGGATCCTAGTTCTTTATGGAGGCTCATAGTGCATGCATGTGTGTTAATGTGTGAAGGTGTGTGTTTAGACTCAAGTGTGTACCTGTTACAATGTGTAAACATCACCACTAGGGAGACAAAGGCGGCCGGGCATGGTGCTGGCCAACCACCCCCTTGCGTGCCGTCAAACCCTTCATCGGTGCTGCTCGCTCGCAGCACTTGCCCCAACAGTCTGTTAAGGCTATTCGGGGGGGTGTGGGGTCTCTGTCTTTGTTGAGTATCTACTTACTCCTGTTTGCCATGAAGATCTCGAGCGCCGAGTTCTGCAAGAGGCAGCGTCGTGAGAAGACCGCCCGGATCTCACTGAACATCCACTTTCCGTGCAGCCCTTCTGTGTAAGCCAGTACCTGTGGACAGATGAATCAATACCTTGAACGCAGGAGACCTCCACTGTTCACTGTGCACCTACTTAGCATACGCGCTGCAGTGCAGTCGTAACATATTTTTGTCAATATGATGAACCAGGTGAGAGCCGGATGAGACCACGAAGTTTCTCTCGCAAGTACACAGACGATTCAAGGACATCAAAGAGCCTTTCTCCCTCAGGAGGGTTAATAAAATATAAGGAAATAACCTCCCCTCGTTAAAAAGAAGTTCGGGCCTTGGTTTCACCCACCGCCGTGTTCAAAGGAGTGCCGAGGGGCTCTAGCCCGGGCCCTGGCTGTGGCCACTCAAGCGAGAGTAACGCAATGAAACAGGCGTCAAGCTGCTCCGGTGCCCAATGCTAAGACCTCCACAGTCGAGAAAGCAGCTTTGCCCATTCATCTGTCTCATCATTAGTGGCCCAGAGAGCCGGTGCAGAATGGCGTACGCTTGCCAGAGTCACCGAGGTGGCAGCTTCTTCCAACGGCTTTAATTTTAATAATAGGGTTGTTCCCCTTTTTTTCTGGCGACAAAACTGAAACCTTTTTTTTACGAGGATTCATGTTTGCATTAACCATAATACCTGCAGTCAAAATGCAAACAAAAAACACACTATGATAATATATGCATTGTCCTTGAAACTGATTGGTCCACACCAAGGGACGGCTTTCTTTTGAGCCTCGACCCAATTGGTGCTCGACCAGGTGACGCCAGAAGGCGCTTACACAGCTCAAAGACAATGCACTATCAAAGTAATGAGGGCTCGGGGTGAGCATCTACATCATTAGACCTCCTTTGCCAGCACCAAAATATAATAATAGGGTTTTTCCCCTTTTTTCTGGCAACAAAACTGAAACCTTTTTTTACAAGGATTCATGTCTGCATTAACCACAATACCTGCAGTCAAAATGCAAACAAAAAACACACTATGATACTATATGATGCACTGTCCTTGAAACTGATTGGTCCACACCAAGGGACGGCTTTCTTTTGAGCCTCGACCCAATTGGTGCTCGACCAGATGATGCCAAAAAGGTTTCAGTTTTGTTGCCAGAAAAAAGGGGAAAAACCCTATTATTACATTTTGGTACTGGCAAAGGAGGTCTAATGATGGATTTAATTTTGTTGTCGGCAAATTTAAACCGGATTAGAGGCGCATTGCATGGGGTTAGCTTCTTGGCTCCACAGTACAGAGAGCTACGTTGGCTTGTCAATTAAATTCCGATAATGATGATAATTGCTCATTATGCTACGAGCAGATGGTTGGATCGCAGAGTCGCGAGAGGTGGCGGCAGATTTGGCGAGGCCTTCACCTAGCAGTGGATCGACCGTGGCTGACGACGACGATGGAGACGGCTACATTATGCTGCACGTGCGTTTTAAGTACGGCGCTGCGGATTGAGAGCACGATCCACAACCGGCAGGTTGAAGTTTTAAACCACCAACCGTGAGTCAAGTTAGGCCATCATCCCTCTGGTGGTGATGCGATTATTATAATTATTACTACTACTCCTACTACCACTTGTTGGGAATTTGGTAGTGATCGACACACGGATAGCATGGCCCCTTTTGACGGGATTAAAGAATTTCCACCACTGGTTTATAGGGCACTCGCAGGAGCAATGCCCCAGCACTTGCGTCAGCAGCGAGACAACTTTAACTCCTTGGCTTTTGAAAGATGACTTGAGTATACAAGTTAGATAAGAGCACATTCGGATGTCACGATTACTTGTATTGCGATGTGTTTAATGTACACACAGACACACACGGGCAACCCGAACGAGTGGCATAAGCTAATTTTTCCTCTCTACTGGCCACATTTATTAATTAGTGATATAATTACAGTACAAGCGGTGACCTACCAGTAACACCCAATCACTCTCGACCGTGTTATACGATGTGAGTGTATAACGTATTCGAGTATGCATTTTTCTTGAATGTTGATAATTGCATGACATTGACGAGATCTCCATTACGTATATACATCTATGCTTAACGTTACTTTGCTGCTAAAGCTGCACCTTTGTTTACTGTTATTACCCTGCATATGCAATTTTCCAACACACAGAATACACACACGTTGGCTTCCCATATATTCTCAATGTATGTGTCTGCTAATGTCACATTCACGTGCAACAGCAAATATGCCACGCACACAGCTAAGGAAAGTGACACGCTGAGCGAGTCCTCATGATTGAGCCACGCATGCTGCATGTACGTGCAAAAATGATTCTTGCTTGTATTCTGTGAGCACAGCTAAACACACACGTTGATGATACACACGCAAAAGATGCATTTTCCGCCACAGGGTCATGTAGGGCAATGCTCCACATCTATGAAGGCCAGCACGACACTCCAAGGCGTAGCGTGGGTAGCACCAAGCCCAGCCATTGCCGGACTTTGCAATCACACCAGATTTGGCCTAAGGAAGACGAGGACCAGATTCCGATACCACTTTCCAGTGATGCAATCCACGACCAAGAATCAAACGCATTCGTAGTGCTGCGTGTCTGCTATGGTGAATGTTACACATTTCCACGTGCGCAGAAGACAAATACCCTCCATGTAGCCTCAACACACTGTTGGGGCAAGTGCCGTGAGCGAGCACCTATGATGGAGCCGGCACAACGCACGAGGGAGTAGGTGGCCAGCACCACGCCCGGCCGCCTTTGTCTCCTGAGTGGTGATCTTTACGCATCGCACAAGGTACTCATTTGAGGCTGAGTCGACATCGGAGAAGCCCAGGACCCATTCAGATAATCGTCACCGGTGTTGCTTGGCCGTGAGCGGGAATCAAACTCGTGTCTTTGGGTTCATAGTGCAGCGGGCTAACCTTTGCGCCACACACACATGTCCATACACACGCTTTACCACACGCAAATCAATAGTTGTGGCCACCCATCACGCGCCATCACTCCACCTTTCAACCTCTGTCCCCCACCTCCTCCCCCACCCCTTCCCAATCAGCCACTCCTGAGCCCAGAGAGTCAATCAGAGATCAAGCTGAAATAATGCACAATCAGCAGGGAGCTATCATTGTTGAGGCTGACCAAGAGAATCCTCCCTTGGTTTAAATGAACAGTTTTTCACGAACAGGCTCTGGGGTAGAAGACAACTGCGTACGTCTGGCCAGCCGCTGCATTTTGGCTTTCACGTTTTATCCAATTTTAACCCCATTAAAATGTTCCATTTCACTGCGACGTTTGCTCGGTCACCTTAGAGAGCTTCTAAGATATCTGCCGCTTCTTCATCTGCGTCATTCCATGTGAACCGTTAGTCCTGTAGAGATTTTAGAGATGCTCCTAGAATTAAAGCGCCATAGCATCAGATGCGCTTCTGCGGCTGTCTGGAATACTCTTCCTTCCAATATTAGGAAGCCACTGGAGCTATGCACTTTAAAATCTAGATTGAAAACTCATTCCTTTAGAATTGCTTTTTGTGTTAAGTTTGTTGTCCTTCCCACCGCACTTCCGATTACCACAATTGGCAAACATACAGTGCGAAATGAGTTCAACAAACATACGTAAATACGTGATAACTGTTAAGTCGCGGTCGTGTGTGCGTGTGTGTGTGTGCACAACAATTAATACATTTTATCAAACAAACAATTTAAATAGTTGAGAGTAAATTAAAGCGTGTTTTCTATTCAATTAGTTTAAATAATAAAACTTGTTCTATGGTGTTTATGTCATTTAGTTTTTTCTGCTTTCAAGATACCGCATTGTAAAGTGCGGTCTCTATTTCAGCGCTGCGAGGCTGCCCTCCGCTAGCAAGGGCCGTTGCCCGACTTGTCAATGCGCCGTGAGTGTTTCTGTTATAGAGCAGCATTAACGATGAACAAGATGTAGAGAGGTTTCTGTTTAATTTGCGCTTGTTTAACGCGACCACCCGGTCGCCTGAATGTGTATTCTATTGCTTCAAGTGGCGCACTCCCCAGCTGACGTTCTTATGCCCTGTCGTGTCACAGAAGTCTTGAATTTTCATAACGGGGATCGCAACTTGCCGGAAGCAACCGTTCGCCTCCTCTTGTTCCGTGATGACAACAACTGGACGCCAACAAGTCCAACTGCTTCTTGTGTGCCACCAACAGGTCGGGAGAAATCTAGAACGTTGGCATTTAGCCGATTGTGCTGCCCCGCCTGAGAAGATTAAAGATCGCGCAACAATCTTAACGAGCGTGGTCCACAACGTCAATGCCATACAGCCGGAAAGGTATGGATGCAGGTAACATGTTGGATTCCTTATCCATGTTATGGTTGATCAAGACTCAGCTGGCCCACTCGATACTGTCACCCAATTCCAAAATATCTACTCCCACCATCGTACACTGTGTGGGTTTTCACGGTTGTGCTCTACAGCTTTACGATGTGTTTCCCAGGCGTACCGCATGCTGCTAGGCATGATATCCCAACGTTTCGCTTCACATTCTGGGAGCTTCTCATGGACAGGCTCTGAAGAAGCTTCCAGCACGCTCCTTGAAGAAGCTCCCAGGACGATGTGTGAGACGTCAGACACCATATCTGATTAAAATATTTATATATATTTTAAAAACTAAACTATTTTTTTTATTTTACCAGGTAAGGCCCCCTGAGCTATATAGCTCTTTTTCAGAAGCGACCTGGCCATAAATGATAGCTCATCCAAGTGGCGTAATACATGAAATCTATAGCGGCCAAATACTCTTAACGAATGTTTCTAATTGTGGAGGGGAAAACCGGAGGACCCGGAGAAAAAACACACGCTACTACGGGGAGAGAGAGAACAAGCAAACTCCAAATATACTGGACAGGCGTCAGGGTCGGGATCGAACCCACGACCTCCTGTATACCACCATAGTGCCCGCGATGCCACCACATAGCACGTGGCGAGCTCCACAGCAGCGGCACGACCGTGCAAGCACACGCAGTAAGCTTACAGAAACAGAATCGTTATTTACACCGGAGGAATCCGATGAGCTACAAAGCTCTTTTTTTCACAGATGTCA